AAAAAAGAGACAAAAATTCTAAAAACTATAGATTCGGCTTCCGATTCGATAATGTCTATTTCAATAAGATTTTCCAAAAAATATTTAATGTACATGTAAGCTAAAACTAATCTAAGCCGAATGGCTTAGTTACAATTTTATTATATGTAGGTATAAGTATGTACGCGTAGGAAACTAATACACAATGGCAATATAAGACCTTTAAAATATTTTCCATTCTACACGACACTGGCAAAGTAGTCTATACCCAACCGGCACGTCTGAAAACCACAGAACAAAAAATTGAATTGAATTAAAAATATTTTTAATTCATGACTTTATGATAATTTCCAAGCGCTCGCATTCACATATACCTATTATCGCAATCACAATAATTCCAACCACAAAACGTGCTTAAAGCTGTTTTGGGAAATTCAGAACCTTTAAAATATCCATACCACTTTTACACATACTGATAGACAATTTGGCGAAATAATATTAACAGAGTTTTATAAAAGCCAGTTTATTTTTACAAAAAAATCACACGCACAAGTGTACGTAGAAAATAATACACAAATGTTTTTAAAATACAGAAATTCTAAAAACTAAATAGACACTTTCTTCTAGAATAAATAACTTTAGGAATAGAAAATTAATTATTAATATGTAAAATTATACCAGAACATGCTTTATACTTACTAGGTAAGAACAGTGCTATGTTTTTGTTTTTTTTTTTTATTTATCTCCACCATTACGAAACACGGCACTGTCTTCCTAAAAGTGTTTATTATTTTATACAATAAAATAAAAATTACTTATATCACAATGTGAAGTCTTAAGAATATTAACTGACAATTTTAAAATTCTTTAGTACTTTCTTAATTTACATTTAACTTAATTTTGACTTTAATATCGATGCCAAAATATTTAAGCATTAAAAATAAAAAAATAAAAGGCTGAAAAACTTAAACGTCGTTTAAAAATAGCTCTTGATTTATCAATTATATAAATTAAAAATAATAAGGAACTAAAACAGTGGCAGATTTACCAGGAGGCTGCCTAAGGCGGCAATTTTTTTAGCCGTCTTCAGAAATCAAAAAGAAATTTTGTTAAAATTCTGAACATGATAGAACTGTAATTAACTCAGAAATATACCCCAAAAACTATTTCTCATGCAATTTTAACAAAATTATTGGAATTTTTAAAAAACCTAGATAGATAGATACCTACTAACAATTATAGAAATAAGGGCGGCAAAAATTTAACAGCCTATACTTGGCAAGCGTGTAAATTCACCACTGAACTAACACTATATAGATATACCGTAACAGAGAAAAAGATGAAAAAATAAAACGTGAAATAATAATTTATTAAATGCCACTATTTAAAACATCGACTTCAATAGACCAATGTCATGACGTATTATAGTCATAAATGAAAAACTGGTCATTTTTAATTAGACATTGCACTTGCTAGACCATATTAAGCCGAATTCACATAAAAATAGTAACAAAATTAGTTGCAATATATTCTTCGCACAGATAGATACTTAGTTCCATTACGCTACCAACCATTATTATATAACTTTCACTTCATTTTGTATGTACATTAAGAATAGTCTGTAATTCAGTTTAAAAAAAAGTTATTTGGAGTTATATTTACCCGACTTCGGCGAGACCTAAAGGAAGGTTACGTGTTTGTTCTGTACGTATGTATATCCGATCCTATGTTCCTCATAATTACTAAACGGCTTAACCGATTTTGATGATTCATACATCGTTAGATTTTTCTTGATAACGCGAATGTAGAGTATACAGATAGCATTAAAAACAAAATGGCAGATTTTAGCCGTTAATTCGTCTTGAAAATTAAATCCGAATTAATCAAGTGATTGTTCTGTTGTCTTGTTCTCATCTTTTTACGCATTCGGATTACCTAAAGATGTTAATTTTAGATATAAGAAGTAATAACGGATTGTAAATTTAACTTTTAACCTTAAATTCCCTATTTTGTTCAAAATGTCCAGAATTGGTCATTAACAAGAATTCCAAAATTTAATCATCACTTTAGTGCTCTCAAACTAGTATATTTTATGAATTCTAGAAATTGTCACAATATACATTGAATTACGAGAAGCTAGTTATAATACCACATCAGGGTTAAATCACTAGCATCATGTAAAAATAAACAATAATTACAACTATTTATATTGTAACTTATTATTGCAAAAAAATAAATAAAATATAATGGTACTTTTATACTTTTATCAAAAAGCCTTAATTGAGAATTAAAATAACAAATAATATTAAGCAACATTAAGCCCAAATTTTAAAGAAATTTGTATAAATATGTAGTGCAGCGGTTCTCAAATGGTGGTCCGCGGAAGCCTAGAGTACCGTGGAAAGGTCGCAGGAGTTCCGAGTTCCGTCCGAGAGTTAAATAAAACGTTGTCAGACATGAAGCCTCATTTTAGTTATTTTATAAATAAATATGTGAAAAATTTCATTCATCACGTTAAATAATTATGTTATATTTTTGGTACATTAAAATTTAATAAAGTATTAATATTTTTCATTTACTATTTGTTCTTTCAAGTCAAACAAGAAAGCATTCTTACTACACACAAACTGTTTAGGCATTATCAAAATGGAGATCTGTTAAAAAAAATATAATTAATCGGGGTTTCATGGCCAAAAAAAATTGAGAACCGTTGATGTAGTGAATACTGAATTTATTTAGATATAGGTCCATTCATCTCCTTTAGATCTAGTAATTCGATCCTTGTTTTAAGTTCTTGCACGAGATTTTCTCTAGGGATTTCTTCTTCTGCTCTAGTCTTGATGTTTCTTATTTTAACCAAACCATTTTTAAGCTCAGATTCACCGAGTATAACCGCTAGTGGAATGCCATTTTCTTCGCAGTGTTGCAATTGGTTCAGCATTTTGGGATTCTTTTTGTAGGACTGCTCTGTCTGTTGACATAAAAGAAATTTATAATATAATAAATCTATAGTAATAAAATAAATAAAAAGTATTTGTAGTTGAAAATAAGATTAAAAATAAAAGTTTTTTTTTCGGAATTCAAATCGAATTTCGTGGTTTTTTTTTAGTTTTTTTTTTTGGGTTCCAACTAGTTTTTGGTTAGTATGTTTTATACGGTAAACATGTGTACAGGAGATATGATATAAAAAGTAAAAATCGCAAAAAAGAACCGAAACAATACTTTAGTTAGATTATCTAATATTCGCGTAAATCTAAAAAAGTATTCAAATTGCATGTAATTTTCAAAACGATGTTGTAAAAGAATAAGAGAGTTTTTGCGTCTGAGACCAAAGAAAAACATTATTCACGTGGTGGCACTACTCGATATTAAAGTTATTTATTTAATGTTTAGTATAGACTTCTCAGAGATGAGATATTGTCTCGCAGTAAAAAATATCCTATATGTTGACCCGGATAACCAGCTATCATCCTACCAAATTTCTTCAAAATCCCTTCAGTAGTTTTTCCGTGATGCGGTCACAGACAGACAGACATACAGACAAATATTCTAAAAACTATGAATTCGGCCTTTATATTGATAATAATGTCTATTTCAATAAGATTTGGCAAAAATACATTAAATGTACAGATTCGGCTTAGTTATAATTTTATTATATATAAATATTTTTTTATTACATGTTCGCACAAAGTTGAAAGGTAAATGTGGTATCAACATCAGATATTTTTGCAATGTTTGCTTGTGAAATGATAAAACATTTAAATTACTGTCGATATGCATATAAGGTCACTAGAGCACGGTCGACCTTAGCCTGAATGTCCACGCGACCTTAATATATAATAGATTCAAAGTTTTAAAAGTCAATATTTTTACTTAATGATGCTACTATGTTTGTATATTTGTTACTCATTCACGCTGAAACGGTTGGAAGGATTTTAGTAAAATTGAGACCTAACCACAACATAGAGACCTGAATTTGTATGACCTGGAGTAACACATAGGCAGTAATAAAATACCAAAAGGTTATAAATATTATAAATGCAAAAGACACCTAAGGGCGCACCCCAGTGAAGCTGTAGTAAAATAATACTCAGACTAAGGAATAATATAGACAAAGTGTCATAGAACTAAACACGAAGCTAAATGATATTTTATACTAATACAAATATTAATAGAATACTCATTAACTGTAAAAATTAAATAAATTTTATTAATTCAAAGAGCTAAGAAATTTTAATATAATAATGAAAAAATACTATATACTTATGCTAACTCTCTTCCAAGGCGAGGAGTAACATTTAAAAAATACAAAAGAAAACTTCAAAAATTGTATAATTTTTTTATATTTTTTAATTATCATACCTATATAAATTTTCATTTATACTTTAAAGAAAATAAACAATCTATATGGCAAAATGGAGAATAGTAGCACAAATTGCAAATCACTATTTATCGACATTTTTAAATTTTTACATTTTTAGTTATCTTCTATTTTTGACATTAACATTTTTTTGGCGGGCTCCATCTATAAAATTCTTTAGCCTCAGTAATAATATTATAGTGTGAAGAATCAACAAGCAAAAACTCAGAACTCAAATTTTCACATTTATAATCATACAGTAATAATAGTTTACAAACCTTAATACCAGCATTCCACAACTCAGCGCATATCTTCATACGTTCGTTGAGGAAGTTCTTCTGCGCAGACGCAACGTACACGTCAATGTCGCTGGTACGAACACTTATATCGCCTGCCGCTAACTTCGCCTCCAACACGGAGAATATACGTTCCACACCCACACTTATTCCCACACACGGCACCTGGTGATACATAATTCAAATTAAATCAAAATATAATACTTTTTTAGATTTTAAATTGGAAACAGAAAAAAGAAATTATTTACAAATCAAAATATACTTAAAACTGGTAGCCCAGTGGTAACGCGCTCGCTTGGGAATCCGAGTGAAGCGGAATCAAATCCCGGATCTCGCACCTCTGATATTTTCATGTGCGAATCATTTCCAACATAATTACCACTTGTCTTTCGGTAAAGGAAAATATCGTGAGGAAACCTGTATGTCTGAGAGCAACATGGGCCTGACAAGTTTTCGAAAGACATATGAACCGCCAACCGGCACTTAGCCAGCGTGGTGGACTATGGCCTAATTCCCGTCGGATAGAAAAGAGTCCCCTGACCAGCAACAGGACGTTAAAAATGGCTCAATACACACATAGGCTTTTATAAACACTTTTGAATTGTCAATTTTTACGTTTTCAAAATTTAAATTAAATGCCGGTATGTAAGTACGTGAGGAATCTACCACCGGCTCTGAAGGCAGTTACTACTACTGAGAAGACCCGGCGAGAAACTCAACAGTTGCTCACATTATTATTAAAATTAAACCGTAACATAAACAATCTCACAATCAATTTGTATTTCTCGCTTGAAATTCATATTAACTTTTTATAAGAAAAATGTACAATAATGTCACAAATAGTGTTACCGTTTTGTAGAACATGATTTATGAATTATTACGACAATTATTAATTTAAAATTAATTTTATATGGTAAAAAAAAAACATTTACATGAAGTGTGCGAATGTGTGACCGATCAATACCTGTTTATTCTTAGAATCGAACATCCCAACAAGATTGTCGTATCTACCGCCTCCAGCAATAGAACCAACTGTTTGATCTTCATTACCGATCTTGATAGGGTCTAAAATTAACGTTATTCAGTACTTATTTTATAACAAAAATCAAATACAGCAAAAACATATTCGTAAAGCTGATAAACCATTTTTAATAAGTAGGTTTTAAATACAAAATTGCAAGATCAAATAACGTATACACATATTATGACAAAATATTTTTATAGGCAGCTTTACAAATAAAAGTATTTTTAGTGAATGATAAGCAGAAAAATAATAAGAAATAATTCCAGAGTAGAATGTAACATTAAAAAAAAGTTTAAAAATTAATGAAAGATATAAATTATACTAACGTGTCAACACAGCCTCATAAATAACACCGGTATAGTAATCTAGGCCTCTAGCCAGACTCAAATCAAATAGGATCTTGTCTTTTATCCCTAAAATGTCACAATAGTCAAGCAAAAGCTTGATTCCTTCGAGACCTTCCACCGCACCTTTTGATTTAGATAGTTTCTCATCCTTTAACAGTTTATCGACTAACTCTAACCCACCATTTAGTCTCACATACTCTCCTATACGATCAGCCGCGTCTGGTGTTACACCTTTCTCATTTATCATTTCTGTACGAACTTCTTCCCATGGTGACTGAAAAAATATTATTATAAAATATTACTAATTAGATCAATACAACGTGAATATATCTCAAATAATATATGGTTGATAAAAAATGTACAAACTAGTAATTACTTCTTCCAAAAAAAAAACTCAAAATAAAAAAAGATACATATAATTATAACATTTATAGTCATATAATACAATAATAATTTATTAATATGCTTAAAATGTTAGCAAACAAATGTTTTTTTTTTTTGCTAAAAACATTTGAAATATTTTAATCATTAAGAATTTAGTGCAAGTTGCCTAAGATTGCATAAGGAATACAATAAAATGAAACACGTTCAAATTTAAAAAGTAGCCCATTTTTAATTCATGATGTAAACTTTAACTATCTCCAATCCAAATTTTACTAATCTTTGTTAAAGTGTTACAGTGTGTGAGAAATACACACACTCAACATCCACAAATTTTTACATTTAAATAATAGTATATCCCATCAACAAATAAAAACTGGTTTAAGTCTATTTAACCTTGCTTTCCAATAGCTTACAATTTATCTCTTACCTTATCAAGTTTATCGACGGTGGAACAAGTAGAGCGAAACTTGTCTGCCGGCACTCCACATGCTTCAAATATTCCATCGAGTAATCTCCTGTGATTCACTTTCAAAACATATTTACCTATATCTATTGCATCTAATATTTCTGTGACAACTTTAAGACACTCTGCATCAGGGACCATCGGATCATATTGACCTGCTATATCAAAGTCCTGTAATATAATTTATGTTTTCAATAAGCACAAAAAAAAAGGGGGAGGTATGTGTTCTCATTTAAACTGAGGGTCAGATCATTGAAAGTCTCACTGTCTTGAAAAGAATAATGTATATTATAATATTAAGTTTTTGCATACTTTTCATATAATGGGTTGAACATAAAATACATAGTAAATAAAAAAATACATACAAACATGGCATCAGACATTAACAAATGAAAAAATTGTTACCCTAAGTTTGTAATGGCAACATATTACATAATTACCTAAACATAATGCAGTTTACAACTGCATTAGTCTTGATACATGTGAATAGTTTATATAACTTTATAAACACAATAACAATAATTAACTTTGTTTTTAACATTACAGTGCTGCATATTTCGAGCCATTATTATATTTCAAAGAAACTCACACATTGGTAAAATTCTCTGTATCTTCCTCTAGTCATGGCAGGATTATCCCTTCTATAAACTTTAGCAATGTGATATCTCTTCAAATTGTTTATTTTATTCATTGCCAAGTACCTAGCTAAAGGCACTGTTAAATCATATCTAAGAGAGAGTATTTCACCACCTTGATCTTTCAAATCATAAATCAGCTTAGAATCTTCACCGTATTTTCCAGTTAAAACATCCTGTAAAATATTTCAATATTCCATTTAGTTAGTCTTATCTGACTTATAAACAATAATGAAAATCTTTATAATATAAATAACTTTATAGTGTAAGTAGAAACATATATTTCTTAATAATTTCGTTTAATATTTTAATAGCTGTTGCATAACAACAATATTTGCAAACATAAAACTAGCAAAATTTATACTTAAGTTTATCCTTTAAACAAAACTGTTAATTGAAATACCTTCAACTCAAACACTGGAGTATCAATGCACTCAGCTCCATGTCTTTTAAATACAGCAACAATTTTTTGCAACACACTGTTTCTAATTGTCATTTGCTGTGGGTTATAATCCCTTGTGCCCTTTGGAGTTTTAAGAGTAAACTTCTGAGGGGTAGCATCTTCAGTGTTCAGTTGTGCTTTTAATGCCAGTAACTTAGATACCTCTTCTTGAATCTAAAAAATCAAAATAAGAAATATTAGTATATACAGAAGCCATATTGTTCGAGGTCTTCTGATTATTTCCTAAAAATCGAATTATTTTTCTTCTTATTTTGATAACTTTCTACAACTAAAGCATTTGCCAATACCTTGCAATGAGATGATGTTGTAATATATTTTGTGCTTCTAGCTAAGTTGTGAAACCAAAACCTGGCTGCAGGGTTTGCTACAATTCGTAATGCTCTGTACATCATAGTTCAATAAATTTCCAAAAATTTATTTTTATGTAATATGATTCCCCGTCACCACTGTTTCATTTTATTTTGATACCGGAAATAGAAACAAAGTTTTAATTTATTCATGTTACAATTCTCTGTGGTAACGAAGTAACCATATGTGGAGATTCATTGAGCTTAATTTTATACCTAAGAACTAATAAAAGTAGTAAGTATACATACTGATAGTGTATAAAGTATAAAATTGCATGCATAAGCATGTGACACAAAGGCATCATAAACAACAAACCTGCTGATCAGCAGTTTTCTTATCAACTTTGACAATATTTATTAATTTATGCGATGGATGTATTACAGGAAACAGACTTATCTCAGAGTCAGTGAAACTCCGCATATGGTACCACCATCTTCTTAAATATGGATATTTTTTTAAATCTAATTTAGAATCTAAACTTTTAAATAGTTCTACATCAAATTTACAAGGCATGTAGCCACAAATATAACTGTAATAGCAGAGTAGTTCGTTTATTTCTTCAAGATCTCGACCTTTTTTTCTTGTGTTAACCTAGAAAATTACTTACGTTGAGTAATTTATGGTGACGCAACGTTAGTAAATGTTAAATCGAACAATAGAACATATTATTCTTAGGTGACATTTAGTAACAAATAAAAACGAACCTTTTCTTTCGATTCTTTAGCAGCTTTTAATTTCCTCACAAGATCTCCCTGTTCCTTAATTTTTTCCAGCAAAGATTCTTGATTATCAGCCATAGCAATTAAAATTTATGAATGAAAAACAATGAGATGTAATATCTAATTCACGTTAGCAGTTAGCACCGCACTCAAGGCTGCGTCAAGTAAAAGTAAGCTTTAGTTAAGAATTCTAGCCGCGAAATAATTGCAGGTTAGCCTTTCCTATCAATCCTTTCAATTCAATTGCGAATGTCAATGCCCATGCCTAATAGTACAACAAGCTGACAGCTCAGCACGTTTACTTGTCAGCTGTAATTTGTCAATGTCAAATTCGATCACAGATAAATACTAATGTCAAAATTACCTCCTTATATGAATAGGGAAGATTTCTTGAAAAGAGGACGCTACACGTATAATCTATTCACATTCAGTCTGAGGCTTATGGTCGATTTCACCAACGTCACCTAAGTTTAAGGGATCCCCTAAGCATAGTTAGGGGGCTGTTAGGAGACAGTTTCTGCTTCACTGACAATTAGGGGTCACCTAAATGTTAAAACGCCACCTTAATATAGGTATTAGAAATACGGGCTCTGACGATGGTAAAACGAAATTTAATTTAGGGGCTAGTTTAGGGGAACTTTTAAGCTAGGTATCCCATACGTAGGTGGTAGCTTATGACGGAACAGTTCCATGTTGTTACTTGTTACTTTTAAAAACCTTTTTTTTTTAATCTGTTCCGATATATACCCTCACTCTTACTCCATAATCTGTCATCTGTGGCTTCGATTTTGATAGAACTTCAAAAAGAGTTAAATTAAAAATAAAAATTATTATTTTTATTTTTTATATATTTTATGAACTTCAGTACTTCAGAGTTAAGACTTCAGTAGGTTACAAAATTCTATGTAAATTGTAAATTTTAATATAATATTATATGTGAAGAATGCTAAGCGAATACCTCGTATTATCTTCTTGCTAGTCATAAGTAAATTTAAGTAATATAAAGAACACAAATATATAAGTAAGTATTTTTTCTAAAAAAATTATATTCTGTATTGGTATGTTGCTATATAGATATTTTGTTTGATTGTTTACATATTTTCAGATATTTTCATATCGGAAATATGGACAGGTTCGAATATATAGAAGCTCGATTATTTGAAGGTGAAAATTACCTTAAACGTGATAAAAATGTAAAAATTTATGACGGAGATGATAAGGTAAGGTGTTTTTAAATAAAGCTTTTTTGTTATTATATTGCATTAAACCTTAAAATACTTTATTTTAGTCTCAGTTTGTGGATGGAGAAGTTGTTCTTACAACCCATAGAATCCTTTGGGGTAAACCAGGTGATATACCCAAAGGACTAATATGTTTGTCACTTCATTTGTATTATGTATTTTGCATGGAAGAAGAAAGTGGTGGAGTTTTTGGACTTGGTGGTCCAAAAAGGATTATATTGCATTTAGGACCTTCACTTCCAGGTATTTTATTTACTGGTAATTGTAATTCTTTTTATATCATTTTCTAGATAAAAAAATATTTCAGGTAAGAGGCCAGGACCAGCAGTTATTAGTCAATATCATTATATTAAGTTCTCATTTAAAGATGGCATAGACCCTGCTTTTTATAAAGCATTAAATGAGGCAGTAACTACAAAAGCTTGGGAAAGGCAGCAACAAACAGCTTCTACATTATCTTCACCGAATGCTTCACCTAAGCCTTCTAAAGCACCAATTAATTCTAAAATGCGCTTAGGAATTGTTGGCATTGAGAGGAGTATAGAAGAACATCATAGAGCAACTGATGAGAGCATAAGTGTTGCATTTCAAGATTTAAAAAAGTTAATGGAAAAGGCTAAAGAAATGGTATCAATATCAAAAACAATTTCATCAAAAATAAGGGTAACTATTATTTAAAAACAAATATCCATTAATTTGTATAAAGTACATCTGTTAAAACTGAAATAGATAGATCACCAATAATAATAATATGTTGGGACATTAACACAGCACCAACTACTTCCATGGTAAGCTACGAGGCTTGTGTTATGGATACCAGATAGTTGATAATTTTAAAGACATACCTATTATAAATATAAACTCTCATGACTGGAGTACAAGCAAACCCACAACCGCTGGCACAGCAAGTAGGGTCGTCGGGGTGTTGTCATTTAATTATGAAGACATTTAATTTTACTTTTTATTCTGTTATAACTTTTATCTTTTTGGGTGTTTTGTAGATTTATTTTGATTCCTGACCTATGGTTGGTGGATTATATTTTAATAGAAGTATGTCCAATTAAATTATGTTTTTTTTTCTTCTCTTGATTTTGCTCATTGAACTGTAATTCAAAATATCTTTATAGGAAAAACAAGGTGATATATCTGAAGATGATACAGTCAGATTCAAATCTTATCTTATGAGTTTGGGTATAGATGATCCAGTAACAAGAGATACATTCAGGTCCGACTCAGAATATTATATGGGTCTTGCACAGCAAATCTCAGATATGATGGTGGCAGTTTTAATGGTAAGCTTATAGGACAAATCATTATAAACATAATGATTTACCTAATTTCTTTTTATTATCCTGTATTGGTTTTTTAAAGAAAATAATTATTTACTTTTTGCATAGCTGTTATTTCCATTATAATATAAAGTATTGTGATGAGATGTTTAATGCGGAGGATCTGATTCCATTTATTTTCAGGATTGTGGTGGAATAATGTCCTTAGCTGATGTTTGGTGCAGAGTCAACAGAGCAAGAGGCTTGGAACTTGTTTCGCCAGAGGATTTGCTAAATGCTTGCAAGTATGTTGAATTAATCATTAATAAATAAAAAAAATCTCTCACTAAATTAATTTTGGGAATTGAGGGTTTTAAGATAAATTGTTTAAAACACATTTAGTTTAGATTTACCTTTAAAGAATTTGCTCTTTGCCTATTATAATATTATAGGTAGATGTAAATGACCCACAGACGGCACTGCCTTAAACATTGTGAGAAATCAATTCTTGTGTGCTTTTTTACATATTCGTTTTAAATTTTTCAAAGTGTACATACAATTATAGCAATACCCATAAACAAATTGTAATTTTTACTTGTTGTTAATTTTAGATTGTTGCAAACTATTGATGCGCCGATGTCATTACGTAAATTTCCAAGTGGTGCCTGTGTACTTCAACTAAGTAGCCACAGGGATGAGGAAGTAGCAAAGAGTACTAGTCAATTGGTAATTATTTTATTTTTTTTTCAAAATCCTTATATATTATATTGTCTAACTTTACTCTGTTATATGTTAATTAGCTTTTAAATAAGAACAGGATAGAAGAAATAATATAGAAATTTTTAGGATCAGTAGGGTATCTTCTATCAATGTCATAGCTTATTTAACTGGATGAACGGAAAGTGTTGATTCAATCATAATTGTTGGAAAATTTTTATGGAAATTCCCGTAATATATATTCTACCCTCGCGAGTCTAATGATCACTTAATTAATTTTATTTCATAAAACCTAGTTATAGCCAGTCGCACCGATTGTACTTAAAAAAAATCAAAACTATATTTAAAAGTCAACTGGTTTATTACCTATCAATACATTACTTTGAATATTGAAAGGTTCAAACTTCAAAACCCACTCAAGTATTTAAATTAATAAAATATTTATACTTTTAAATATTCATGTTTTTAACAAACATGGTATATATTAGTATAAAGGTTATTTTTAAAGTGAACTATTATATAAATACTAGTTCTTTTTTTATAGTAATAACTAATATGTATAAATCATTTTTTTAGCTTGATGAAAATGGTTCATTAACTCCAGTAAAGCTGTCTCAAATTGCAAATGTTTCCGTCCTGCTCGCACGCGAGCGCCTTTTTACAACAGAACGCCTTGGCTTAGCTTGTAGAGATGAATCCATTGAGGGCTTAGCTTTCTACCCTAACCTGTTTCTTACTAAAGTCTAATGTCTATAATATATAATTATTAATTATGTATAAATAATATATTCTAATAAAATATTTTTCTAAATGTGTTTTTATTATTAATAGTAAACCATTTGTTTTCCAAGCATAAATATTTATTAAGAAAGTGACCTTTACCACACAATAAAAATTTTATCCTATGTAAGCAATTGTATTGAAAGCCCTTATATCTAAGCCTATCTTATCATCGACTACATAAGAGTGTAAACCATCTCACAAAATATCTCGTTCTACACATTCTTATAGTATTAAGATATGAGAATTTTATTCTAAAATAGCCAAGCGTGAATATTTTGTGCATTAGAGATAATATATTAAAATACCTATTTTAAACTAGTTGAATTTAATGTTATTATTTTAATATTGCATTGCAGTTATTCTAAAATAACTGTTAAAGGCTATATTTAATGATGATAAAACTGTTTAATACTGATGTGGAAATGTTATTGAACACTAATTTATTTTTTATAATGACTAACTTTTTCTGAATATTTAACATTATTTTTTTTGTCAGTATAAATCTAGATCTTAGGCTACAAACATCAATAACTTTATTTGCAAGCTTTCTTATGAATATATAAAAATATATAGGTAATAAAATATTGACAAAAATAGCAATCATTTAATATATATACTTAATAAGTTAGCAGCAACTTTAGTAAGTATAAATTTAATTTGTTTTTTATTATTCTCAAGCACAGTAGCATAACATAAATCTGATTATGTACCATTAGTTGTTCCTTGTTACAAAAGTTATGCTATAGTTATATTTTACAACCGGTTGACCTTGAATGATACTCTAAATAGTTAAACACTGCACACTCTGCAGTCTATTTCGAAAACGATTCAAGACATAACGAGGTTTTTAAACAAAAGTTGTCAAAAATTTAATCCTCTATAATATTTATAACAAATACAAAAAGCATATAAACCATAGGAAACAAGATATTTGCAAAAAATCAATTTCTTGACCTTTGACCTTAGATATCTGTGGTCACGGACACCCTATGTTAACGTTACGGTTTTGAGATAAGTAGGTTCCTAAATAGGGTATCAAAATAAAGGTTTATACAAGTTTATAGCTATCTCCAATTCCGAGATATTGACTGGATTATTTAACCAAGAATTGTTGGTAAACCATTAAAGGCTGATGTGGTACATAATATCTTAATTTATGTTATATGTGTTATATCTTAATATATGTTGAATGTATTGTGAAAGTGTTCAGGAATAAATATTTTTTTTCCTTAACACTTTTACAATACATGTAACTTACTAGTGTTTTTATTTATATTATACACAAGTCTCAAAGCATAAGGGGGCAAAAAAAGAAAATAAGCCTAATTCTACAATTTATTTTTGTGGAATGTTAATACTCAGTAGCACTTTTAAATTCCTTTGGTAATTGATATTGCTTGCCACATAACTCCCAGGCTTTAAAATCATCACTGGCCCGCAGATTTTGTATAAAACACTCAACACCTCTTACAAATGGGAGCATCATTTGATCATTTATAATTTCAGAAAGACGGTATAAAAATGATATATTCTTTGCAAGTATATCTTTGATGTTAGTAGATAGTGGGCGCTTAGTGCACTCAACTATGTCCAACTGAAACAATAAATATTAAATATGTTTAATTTAAAAGCTGATATCTTCACATTTTTAAAGGGAATATAAAAGTCATTTCAAAGTAGCAGAAAAATAAGCTTATTATATTTGTATATAATAAAAAATAATGGAAATAAAAAAATATGAATATTATTATAGTCTATGATATCTAATTGAGTTGTGAATATAATTAAATCATAAATATTTGAAAATCATTAACTTTCTTAATTTAAAAACATACACTTACATTTTCTTGAATAGTATCTGGCTTCAGACCAAGGTAATTGTTCAAACATTCTCCCAATGTTTTGACATTATTTGGAAGGTAACCTGTTTTATGTCTTGTTATAATAATATCACCAACCTGTAATTGTTTATAAGTTATATTATATTCATATAAAGAAATATATTTAAATGAATTATGAAAGTAACTTACCTGTGTATCGAAAACAGAGTTCAACTTAACATTATGTTTGTGATACAGACAGTCTGACAACATTCTACAGTTATGAACAATCTTTTTAGGAACATTACTTTCAAGTATACTTCTTAATCCAGCATCAAATCCATGATATTGCAAAACTTGAATGTCAAAAATGTATATTTGCTGTAGTGTTGAAATCACTAGAAAAGGCATCTTACACTTTCGGCCCAAATTAGCCCCATCAGTACTCAACCCAAGGTAACTTTGTGAATTTAGGTCATTTATTGCCTGATGAAAAGTATTATCTACTTGATTTATATAGATATACATCTTAGACATTTTTATAATACTTTCACATTCTTTTTGTGTTATCTTCAAATGATTATGTTCATTTTCCTCTTTAACCTTTACAATATCCCTTACTTCAGAATCATAATAATGGCATACTCCTTCATTCAACTCTTTCTGTAGTATATCCTTCACTTCATAGAGTGATATTTTCGATTTATCTTTATTCATGCTATAAAATCTGCCTTCTATTATATCATTATTCTTAATATGAAGTCGTAACAGATCACCCTTCATATAAAGATTGTCCATTTTTAAGTTTTTACTTATCTAACAATAAATTAAGAGGTAAATTAATCTTTCTTGACCGGCTTAGTCGGTGTTCTATCAGATTCACTATAAGCCCTATATATGTAGAGGCCTAGAGTTACGTGCAAGACGACCACAGCAACTACAGCAGAGTAAACGCTACTTGTAATAGCTTCTAAACCTAATATCCTATCGAATAATAAAATCTTTACTACGAAGAACGAGAATACTGGTACAATTATGATAAATAAACAGTATTTTATTACCGTCCGAAATACTTGAAAATCAGGTAGTTCCTAAAATAAAAAATAGGTTAAGCTATAGTAATTTAGTTTAAAGAAAGGTAGATCACATATCTTAATATTACAATTATAGTGCTACTTACATTTGCCTTGCCTTCAATCATTATATGAAATGAAATAAAAAATTAAAATAAAATTAGACTGAAAAGAACTGAAATCCCAGTTTCATCAATAATCCAAAGACTATAGAGGAGGTCCGCACTCCGACGTATGTACAATGAACAATCATAAAATGTACTCTATGCCATCTATATAGTTTGTGTTCTATGCTAAATGCTAATAAAGTTGTCTCAGGTGTAAAAATTTACTCCTGTAAAAACCATAAATTTACCCTGTTTTCCAATTAGAGCACTAAAGCCCATTATACGGTATTATACTAATTTCGAATGTTTCAACTTTATTTGTCATCCATGGTTTCAACTTTCAACTACAGCAACACTTCAGTCAATCGGAATCGAGCATTATGATTTTGAAAAGTACTGCTTTGGCGTGATCGGTGATGCGCGCAAGGATACCAACTCAATAGTAGAAAATATGAGGTGTTTCGTTTGTTTGTTTTCGACGACTCGTTTGGCTCAGTTTGTAGTGACCCTACTTTCTGTGCCAGCGGTCGCGGGTCCGAGTCCCGCTGGGGACATTCATTTGTGTGACGAGCACGAATGTTTGTACTCCAGTCATGGGTGTTTATATTTATAATATGTATGTATTTTAAAGTTATATATGGTAGTGTATCAACTATCTGGTATCCATAACACAAGCCTCGTAGCTAACCATGGAACTAGATGGTGCTGTGTGTAAATGTTCCAACAAATTTATTTATTTCTTCTTCAAGGTGGCATTGATCAAAATTTTATTTACATTATTAACATTAGTAATATTGTTTATTGTTAAACTAATTAGTAAAGCTTTTGACGTAGTCTGATAAAATATAAAAAAAAAATGTATACTGTGTTCAAAAATAAATATAAGTATGTGTGAAGCTTCAAGGAGGCATTGATCAAAATTTCATTTAAAAGTTTCAGTTTTTTCCAATTTTCGGCTTACTGTGACGTCCTATCGAAAAATGTTCTACACAAATGTTGTAGATGTAGTAAAAATCTACAACTTTTATATATGACAATTTTTACAATAACCTGAAAGCTTTCGAGATATTAGCAAGAAAAACTTTTTAATTTTTTCTTGGTTTTTTATTTTTAATTTCCGCAACAATTTTTTGATTTTCATGAAACTAGGAGAATTTAATCTTCGATATACTTATAATAACCAACATTTCTTTTAAATTGAAATATTTAGCCGTTTTCGAGAAATTTATGTTTTATGTTCTCGGGTACTTTTAAAGAGAACATTTTTCAATAGAAACTATTTTTCAATGCATTTTATCCCCTTATTTTTCGGGAGTAGCTGGACATTGGGGGCATTTTACGGATTTTTGTTTCTTGATAATATCAAGTTGATATTTTTGTTCCTTAAACTTCTGGTTTAAATTATTATTATTTTTTATTAAAAATAGACGGATTCCGATCGGTCTACATGATCAAATATTTTAGATAGGAACATGTTAACCTGAACAGGTATGCAGTAAAAAATTAAGTTAGTTCTTAATTTAACAGTCTCAAAAATCTTTGCCTAATTAAATAAGACAAAATTAAATAAACTTAGTATTCTTGTAACAAAAATCTTAATTACAATTCATAAATTTATTTAATAAAAACACGTTTTTGATTCATAATTTGTCATCCATGATTCATAAACTAAACACTCAGAAACATGGAGTATTTTTTATTATTAAAGTGTCACGACGTAAAGTGACACGACATGTAGTGACTTGAGAAAGCGCGGCGAAATTGAACCGAAGTTCGTCCGAAATTCGGCCGAATTTTTTATTTTCACCGAATGTTCGGCCGAAGTTAGTATTTGGTTCAAACCACATTCGACCCATCTCTAAATTTATTTCATTTTTAGAAATCAAAATTCTGAAAATACCGTTGGTTCCTATATGTTTCCTTGATATTTTGAAAGTGATAATAGTGACATTTATTTGAAATATTTTTAACCGACGAAAAAAAGAATTAGGTTCTCAATAGGGAAGAATTTTGCCATTTTCTCTCGCCAGATTTCGCGATCACTATAATCCTCAGTATATTGTAAAGCTCTATAGCGTGTTTGGGTTTTTTATCATTTTATTTAAAAATAATTAAAATAACAAATTATGCAATGCCAGGATGCAAGGAAAATGGAAATCATTATTGTTCCCAAAATCTTTATATATAAGGCTATGTGGACATCATTTTACAGAAAGTGATTTTAAAACTGTTTAATCGTCTATATATAGACAAACAGACAACAGATAGACAGAGAAACAAAAAATTGAACAAAAATCTGGATTCGTTATATTTCTCTTCTTGCATTCCCCCGACTCGGTTTTTAGCATATTTTTCTATGTACAGACATTTGACCTCTACAGGTTTATTATACGTATAGATTAGATATTCATATCGGTTGGCACTGACTTTGAAATTTTTTGAAATTTTTTTGAAGTCGGTTTTTATAACAAGATTTATATAACTTGCAATGTTGGTTAGTTTGTTGGAAGTAGTAGTTGGTTTGTTAGTTGGTATCATAGATGACTGATTTGTTTATTTGGGTAAAAAATCTTGCAAGATGAATAAGAACGACTTCCTCTTACCCTATAGAGTTGAAAGTTTAGATGTTAGTTCAGTTCCGATGACAATAATTTTTTAGGATATTTATGACCTGATTCTTTTTTCAGTTCAGATACGAAATTTTATATAAGCATTCAATTATTATAGACCCTTCTAAAGTTTACCATGACTTAGGTGCTGCGTCCAGGGTTGAAAATTATACAAATATTTATTTATTATTACTAGCGACTCACCCTCGCTCCGCTCGGGTTCGTCCTTGGGGTGGTGTCTGGGAGGACCACCCTTATCCTTATCACTTAAGGGTATGGAAAATAGATAGTAGCCGATTCTCAGACCTACTGAATACGCATATAAAATTTGGTAAAAATAGGTAAAGCCGTTTCGGAGGAGTACGGTAACTAACATTGTGACATGGAAGAAGAAGAAGATTATACAAAAAAAAAATATTATAGTTGTATTTATTTTTGTGATCACCTCTTAAAAACCTTCATTATGATACTCGATAGAAACGGGGAAAGTTTTTTTTAAAAAACAAACAAATTGGCGCCTGAAATCTACTATATGTGATTTTTAATAATTCGCAGTATCAACACAAATCTAACGAGTAATAACGTAGGTATAATTCATCAAAATCGGTACAGCGACTTAGGAGAATACGAGGCAACATAGGATCAGAAATATGTACGGACATACAGGTCAAACACATACTTAATCCTCCTTTGTGATTCAAGGCTTGGGTAGTAACTGTTATTAAATTATTCAGGAATATAACATGTATTTAAACAAAATAAATTATTATTTTTGTTCGAACTCATTTCATATATTTACAGATAGACACCTACATATATACATAATTCACTAAATTTACGCTATTATAACGACTCTCTCTTTACGGTATAATAAACACGAACATTGTGATTTGTGATAAACGATTTATATTATAAAAGTATTTAATGAGCTTAGAATTCCGTAGGTTCTAAAACTTCTATAGCTTTTTTACCAGCCAAAAGTAAGTATTTAATAATAATTAATTACATGATTATAAATTATATATGAAAGATTTCAACTCTTGTATAGTAATTTCTCTAAATTTTAAATAAAGTTTGCAGATGGAGCGAGTCCTCACCTACGTATGAAAATTGAAAGAGTAAACAACATCCCTATGATTTCTATAAGCAAATACGAAAAACGTTACAAATGTGAGCCCTATAATCAAAAATATAATAGGCCTTATGACCTCTTTTCTGTTAAAATATAATTTGGTCTTTCCCGTGAAAAAAAAAGACATGCAGATTCATCAAATATTATCCATATTTACAGATATTTTAGGACTGAAGTCCGATACTGCGTACATTCGCCCACTTTGGTTCTCCTGACAATTTTTTTGAGCTTAATAACTAGGTAACGATCTGCGGGATTGGTGACTTCAGCGTGAGACACTTTATGTCTACAATATTTAATAACTAGCTGCTCACCCTTGCTTCGCTCGGGGTTGCCTCTAGAAAGACAAAAACAAATCTATCCCTCGGCATTCGTATATTTTTCCGGGATAAAAAGTAGCCTATGTGTTATTCTAGACTATAATTTATCTTTTTTTTTATACCACATCGGTGGCAATCAGGCATGCGGCCCGCCTAATGGTAAGCGGTTACCGCAGCCTATGGACGCCTGCAACACCTGGGGCATCACATGCGCGTTGCCGACCCTTTAAGAGCCTATTTACTCCCCTTTTGAAGGACCCCATACTGTAGCCCTCTGGGAAAACCTCGGCAGGGAGTTCATTCCACAGCGAGATGGTCCGTGGGAGAAAATTCCTCTGAAACCGAACTGTACGGGACCATTTGGGCTGCAATGTGTGAGCATGAACTCGCTGTCGATGGCGAGCGGTGCGGTGATAGAAAGTGGCATCTCTGTGCCAAATTTCATCCAGATCTGTTCAGCCGTTCTGGCGTGAAAAACTAACAAACATCCATACATACTTACCCACAAACATTCACATTTATAATATTTTTACAGATACAGATGAATATTACGGTTTTCAATACACTTTATATCGCTTACAACATAAATATACGGAATTTATACTGTAAATCTACGGAACAGTTTTAGTTAAAATTAACATCGCAATATGAGTTTCCCCCCTCGAGTTTTTGTTACGCACTATACTCGTTACCAAATACCATAGCTGGTATAGAATGTTGCTATTGACATGGTCAACGGCAAAGTTTAATCTTCAAATATAAGTCTAATTTTAACTGTAATAAATATGATTAAAAAAATCCATTGTGGCTCTGCGATACTACTTACCATCCTCGTAAGTATACTAATTTTCATATATAAATACAGCATTAAAATTGTGTGTATTTGTAACAAGTTCTTCCTGTTTCTATTGTATTCAACAGATTGGGATTTATGGTACATTTTTAGATCTAAGCGAGGTGCAAAAAAATATTTTGCAATGGAAGAATCAAAACTTGCTAAATTTTAGCGAGGTCAGATGATTTCATTATTATTTATTACAATAAAATATAAACAAAAATCTTGTTTTGCTTATTATAATATTTTAAAAACTGTATTAAAGTAATATTTTAATAGATCGGAGCAGCCTCCAATGGAATATTTGACTTAAGTGATGTAAAAAACAAAATTCTCCAGTGGAAAACACAAAAAATTTCAGCTCTGTGTCCAACAAACGGGTAAGTCTAAACAAAGAAGATATATACTTACTAATTTCTGAATCACAGAAAATAATGTACATATTATAGTAATAGTTAAAAATATTTTTACTTTAGGGTGAAACTACAGAATTTACTTAACCTTGCGTGCAGTACTGCACAACCTACGAATGTGACGTTGCGTGACGCCTGTATAGCATGTTTTTCTAGAGTTACATCTATGCCAGAGGTAATTTTGGTAGTGAATATCTTTTATTTTTCTTGTTTCATATTTCAATAATAATAGGTATATTTTATTATTTAAATTTTATCGCGACATTTTTTTATTTTTAAGGGCCCTCAAGAACTTAATGCTTTAAGCGTTTGTGCTGTACAATATTTTACAAATACGTCGTATGGGATGTGTGCAACAAATGTGATGGTAACAACTAACAAGTCGTCTTCAAAAACATAAAAAGACATGCTAAAATATTATGAGCATTTTATTTTAATTTTATCTGTTTCATTTATTAGGCTTTGTCGACCTCAGCTTTAAATGTTCAATCATCTGGCTGTTACATGGGATACTGCGATTTTGTAAGATGTTTGCGACGAACGAATTCTATAAATTTGGTTTGTATTAATTACGATATATATATATATATATATATATATATATATATATATATATATATATATATATATATATATATATATATGTTGGGACATTAACACAACACCATCTCGTTCCATAGTAAGCTAAGAGGCTTGTGTTATGGATACCAGATACTTGATACACTACATCTACACTACACATATTAATTAATACATACATATTAAAAGTATGAAAGTAAAAATACATTACATACAAAAGTAAATAATTTTAAATACATGCAAAAGTGATTGACTGATGTATCAACGCACAGGCTAAAAACCCTTTAGGCTAGAAAACTAAAATTTCGCACACGTATTCCTTTTAAGACGAAGGCATCCACTAAGGAAGGATTTTTCAAAATTCAAACCCCAAGGGGGTGAAATAGGGGTAAAAGTTTGTATGAAACCTTTTATTCCTTGGACATATTTGGATGAAACTTCGTGTGAATTGAGTACGATAAAAATAATGAGTTATGTATTTCAGCGTTTTCTAAAATTCAACCCCTAAAAGGGTAAATTAGGGGATCAAAGTTTTAAATAAACGCACAGGCCAAACACTTAGGGCTAGAAACTTAAAATTTCGCACACGTATTCCTCGTATGACGTAGGAAGGTTTTTTCAAAATTCAACCCCCAAGTCGGTGAAATAGGGGATAAAATTTGTATGAAACTTTTAATTCCTTGGACATATTTGCATGAAATTTCGAATGAATAGAGTACCTACGGCAAAAATAGTGAGTTACGTATTTCAGCGTTTTCCAAAATTCTACCCCTAAGAGGGTAAAATAGGGGATAAAAGTTTGTATGAAACCTACCTTTTTAGAGATTTTATTTGTAGTTTTAGCGCGAGCAAAGCCGCGGATTCTGCTAGTTAAAAATATACCTACTATTAATTATCTTAATAGAATTTGTATCTGCGAATTTATTGGTAGTGTTTAAAATCATTTAATATCTTTTACGGAACTATTTATAAAAAATGTACCGGCACCCTACTTACATAAAAGTGTCGGTTCTATCTTCTAATTGCTCTATCTATAGGCTGTCATTTATACATTTGTATAGAGATACTTACCATATAGATTCAAGCGATTAAACAAAGAGATAATAAAGTAATAATTAAAGATCACATTTTTGTTTTTTTTAATTAATTATTATATAAACTTAAAACTAAAGCAACAATATGTCTTGATAATTTTTAAATTATTTGAAATATTTTTTCAGATAACACAATGTACAAGGGAGGCAAGAACCGGCGTTAATATTACACTTGATAGTGATAACGTTCGTTTTTACACCAATGTAACATCTTGTATCCTTGCAAAAACTAGATGTGGTACATTTAATCCTATAACCGGAGAACCACAAGCACCAGGTTACACATCTTCTGGCTTTAGAGTTAGTAATGCTCTTCAATTTTCTAACACTGGGGAACTCCGAATTCTAGCGTTTTCCGCTAATACACCAGTCTCTTCCTCATTTTGTGCATCAACAACTAATTTAACTCAAACAAATTGGTTGACTAATGTATGTTAAAAAATATTAAACTAATTTAAAATTTAGTTATTATATAAATATACCTACTTATTGATAAAAAAGAAATGTCTTATTTTGTGCCTAGCTTTTGCATGTGTTAGTAATTAGATTTCCGTTAAACCAATGCCGTTTTCAGTACTACTTATTTAATTACGATAACACTAGCTTTAGAATAATATCGGTGATTACTTTGGCCTATACTTTAGTTTTTTGTCTCTAGTGTATACTCTATCAGTAGATATACTTGACGGTAGGCAATAAAAGATAATGTTAATGTAGATCTGACAATATTTAAAAATTAAAGTATCTGCAGTTATGAAACACTTCTTTTTCTTTCATCCGCCTGCATCAAAAATACATACTTTATATAAATGTGACTGAATAGCAAATCCCTAAGACTCAAATGAAAAAAAGGATTTCTATTGAAGTAAATTATAGCGTCGCCAAATGAGTTTCTAGAAAGTAAGTAGTTATAGTACCATTACTATCTATTATGGCAAGTGGCAATAATCTCTCTGTAGTTTGTGGCAAATTGCGCATGTCTATGACGTATTATATTTTATTAGTATTAATTTTTCAACGAATGTCATATAGGTATTGATTGGGATTATTTTCGTATTTTTATATATACGTATTTTTATATATCTATATATATAAAAGAAAGTCGTGTTAGTTACTTCGCTTATAACTCAAGAACGGCTGAACCGATTTAGCTGAAAATTGGCAGGGAGGTAGTTTAGAGCCAGGAGAAGGACATAGGATACTTTTTATCCCGTTCGACCGCGTTCCAATTTTAATGATATTTTAATTTTTGGATTTCTCTTAGTCCGGAATAGGTAAGTATTAAAACATATAATTAAAATGTGAGAAAGAAAGATTTTTTCTTTTTATATCTATTTAAAACGTACCTAGCGACGAACCCGAGCGAAGCGAGGGTGAGCCGCTAGTATATATATATATATATATATATATATTGAACATAATAGGTAGTTATATCAAACAGAAACTGTTAAAATCAGCACAGTTCACTTTGTCCTATTTTCAGTTTTTTCTAGTTAGTAATTACTCGTAGTTGGCCGTCTAGTAACTGTTTTTGTTATTTCTTAACTCAATAACTCCCCCTGTTTTATAGAGCATAATTCCTTCCGAATTTTGGCGCACAATGCCGTAGTGAGCTAACGCTTAATTGGAACGTGAATTAGTTTTCAAGTGCACCAGCAGAGGGCACTAGGTTCAGTATTTAAAGAAAAAAAAAAACTAACTAATATGTAGGTAAATAAATTATAATATATAATAATACATATCGTCGATATTATAAATTATATAATAAACTAGCGACTCACCCTCGCTCGGGTTCGTCCCTAGCTTGCTTCCCAATACAAATTTTCATCCCTATTTTCAACGACTTAAGGAATGGTTTACGCGATAAAAACTATCCTATGTCCTTTCCGGAGTCTCAAATCATCTTCTTACCAAATTTCATCTAAATCTGTTCAGTAGATCCAGAGATTACCCTTACAACGTCACAAACTCCCAAACTTTACCTCTTTATAATATTAGTATAGATATATAATAATATATAACTAATTAATATACAATTATATAAATAAAATTTAAACAAATATTACTAACATAATATAATGTAAATAAAATTATGATCAATGCCACCTTGAAGAAAAAACACTTTTCATTCTTTCTGTAATTGAGTTGGTATGCTTGCGCACATCACGCCAAAGCAGCACTTTTCAAAATGCTTGATTGAACGAAGCGTTGCTGTCTTAGATTATTACATATAATGTATAGGTACTCTAAGGTTGCTGTAGTTGGAACGTCCGAAGTTAGCATTATGTCGCATAATGCGCTTTAGTGCAATAATTGGAAAACAGAGTCCTTTTCGTGATTTTTGAAGGTCAGTGCTTTCTACTAGCTGTCAATGTCATCGTCAACGTCAAGATTTTCTAACCATAAAAATAAAATTTAAATGTTTGGTGAATGGTGATGTTTTGACTCAGACTTGTATCGTCAGTTATTAATAACAAATACAAAAAATAAAAGCATATACAAAGTTAAAAACGACTTATTGCATCCTTGTGGAACAAGTTTAAAGTGAGTTTTGTTTACCATGTAACATTGTTTATTTACGGAAAAAATCGTTTAGTTAGTAGTGATAATGAATTAGTGTTCATTATTTTTCATTTATAAATATAATGTAAGAAAACACGTTTTGTATGCTATTAATCCACACACGATAAAATAATTATATTCTTGTAAACTATTTATTACTAAATTAAACAATTTCAACTATTGAATATATGCAATTTATGTAGCTATTATTTTACAAAAACATTTCTTGAACATATTGAAGACATATTGAGAAACATTAACCATAAAATCTGTTAAACTACTTCTTACTTCAAAGGTAAAAAAATAAATCATACATGTATTGCTATAAAAGAGGGAGATTAAATAACTAAAAAGGAGAGGAACCCAACTTTGTTCTAAAAATTTATTTTACCAAAAAAATTCACCATATTAAATGTAATATAATTTGATATAACAGTAAGTGTTACAATTTGACTAAAATAGGGTTTCCTAGTTGAGGCTAGGGATTTCCGCCCCAACCCATAACCATGTAGATGCCGAAGTAATAACCTTAGATCAATCACCCCTGACTCTATTTTAATAGAGTCTTGTAAAGTGTCTGTGTAAAGTATTAAATTATTTTCTAAATGATTCATGATTCTTTTTAAGTTTTAGTACTATATTCATAGTATGTTTAGCTTTATTTTTTAGTAAATAAACAAAAAATATATCAAACTACAGAAAACATTTTTTTAAATAGATATATTTAATACTATAACATTGTTTTATAAAATTTTAAAAGGTATATTTTATATAGTTTATTCACTTTCTACAATAAATTTAAATAACTATACAGCCAAATAATATGAAATGTATAAAATAGGAGCAAGTCTTAATTTTCTATTTTGTTGCAGTAGTAGCTTTTTGTAATTTATGTTTAGCAATTTTAGATTTTTTCTTTACTTTTTTGATTGCTTGAATTGATTCTTCAGAATCTGAATTTTCTGATATAATTATTTTTTTGTTATGGGTTTTTTTAGACTGAATAGCAGTTGCAACAAAAGCGCTTTTTCTGAATGCTGACTTTGCTTGTCTATTCTGTGGTTGAGTATTTCTTGGTATATCAGTAAAACTTGTGTTATTTATGTGTGTAGAATTTTCTGATCTTGCATGTTTCAATCTGCAAGAAAAAAATATTTCATATTATATTTGCCATTACGCATAATATTAAACTACATATATTGCTTTTTATGTGTTTAATTTTAAAATTCCCAAGGAGGGTTGACGTCAGGCAGGCGGCCGGTCGTAAAAATTTTGCCAAATCCTTTGAGCAGTACAGAGGATGTACTGCGCCGACCCCAAGTAATTGGGAAATGGGCAGGGAGAAGAAGATATGTTTAATTTTAAAGCAATGTAGGTAGCGTATATAACAAATCAAACATCATATTAACTAAGTAGAGTCTGTTAAGGTACAAAAAATTTGAGATTTTTTCAGATCAGATAGTCTCCAGATTCTGTTATTGGGTGATAAAAAGTAATGATTATTCTTTTTAATTAGGTAATATGTTTAATAGCTAAAAACCTAAAACTAGCTAGCAAGTAAAATTTTTGCATATAAAAATCTCTTTTTACATTTTAGATAATTTAGCTGACATGTGCATTATTTTAGGAATAATTTATAATATGTATTAAGAGGTTACTAACTTTCCTTTCCTTTTATTACTTTTAGGAATTTTGTTAATAGGTTCCAATACATCATCAGTATTTGGCACTTTCACAGAAACTTTTTTAGTCTTATTTTTTTTCTTCTTTTTCTCATCTTTAATTTTTTGTTTATCACCCTCTAGTTCTTCTAATTTCTTTGAACATGATCTAAAAATGTAATTAATCATTATTTTTTTTTCATCTAGTACTGTAACTCTAGAAAAGAGAACATACCTGAGTAAAGCTTCACTGTCAGTGAAATATGAATTCATGGCGAAGCTTGAAATACCCCAAGATAAAGGACCCTTTTCTTCATCTTGTACTCCAGTCCAGATATTTTTCTTAAGGGAATTTAGTTTTACTTGCAATTCCGATGGTTGCATATTTCTCCCTTTTATTTCTGATAGGCACCTATTTAAAAACATGTGTTAATTTTTTATTATTGGTATTAAAATACAATAATTATACATTTTAATATACTTTGGTGGTGGTAAACGTTGAAATTGATGCCATGATGCAGGTTTTAACTTTAATTTACTTTGTGTTGGATGATCATTGATCATTGAAACACTTCTTGGCCTATATTTGTTGGATTTTTTTTCTCGATCGGAATTGAGTGGTGAATCACTTGTCTGGAAATAAAATGTTTATTCTATGTTCATTATTATAAGAATAGAATATAAGATGAATAAACGAAAAGAAGAAGTATTAGTGATAAAGGTGGCACGATGATACACATTTACATGGTTTTCTTTAATTTTAATATAATAAATAGTTGGTGTGTTATTAAGTGCTTTTATCTTATTTGACCCTTTATACATAATACTTTTAGATACCTACATCTTTATTAAAATTAACAACAATGTAAAATTACCAGAACTGGGAGAATTTTCAGTTCAGGTGGCATTTTCTTTTTTCTTCTTGGTTTTAATTTCTCTGACGACTGGAGTAATTTGCGAACTCTCCTTACAGGACTGAGATTTTCTTCAAAAGAATTACAATCTGATGATGCATCTGACATGGCGTCAGATGTAATGTCTATTGTTGCTCTTGATACCTGTAATTTTTCACTTTATTTTTATTCTACATTGCTCTCCAACTCCAAGAAACAATTTTGTCATACATACGTGTAAAGTTTCCCGGTTTGTCTTTTTCTTTTCCATCCTTTTAATTTTGTCCAATATTAAACGTTGTTTTTGTCGTTTCTGTTTGAAAATGCTCTTTTACTAATGTTAAATAAACGTTAACGCCAGGCATTCGAAATTGCTATATATAAATAGAAAAGAAACTTGGCGGCTTTGATGACCGCCGCCATTTTAATTTTTTTCCAATTTTCGGCGGCCAATGAAATTTATATATTACGACGTAACTGGATAAAAGATACACGAACAAAAAACATCGGCAATATGCTACCCTAAAGCGACAGGTTTTCGAGATATTTAATTTAAATCATTAATAATGAAAACATTACTTATATATAAGTTAGTAATATTCAAACAATAGTTCCTATAATAGGTCAATTTAATAGCGATTTTTACTTCCAAACGTCTCGGACACGTGATACTTTAGAGTACCGTATATCTAACGTATTTTGTTTGTTGGGCCTATAATCAGTTTTGTCTCGCGCCGTTACTTTAAATAAACTTGGCGGGCGATGGCTCCGTTGAAAGATGTTCGATCTCCTTTGCTTATATGTAGGTACCTAAATAGTATTGCTTACTTCACTTAAACTTCTGCTTATATCTGGAAGAATCGGAGACGGTGGTGGAGCAAGTTGGGTTATATTAGATGACACTCTTAAACCTCCAGCCTCAGAGCTGCTACTGGATGTGTCACCTTCATCACTGTAATTCATTATATTTTACGTTAAAATTAAAAAAAATATATATTAAAATATGTAAATCGTTCTGTTTAAGAACAATGATAAGTAGACCACGGAGTGGTTTTTTATGAAATCTTTCTGTAATAAACTATATGTAAGATGTAACATGGTGCTATATTTTACTATGTACTAGCATTTCCCGCGGCTCCGCCCGCGTTCAGATGACCAAAAACCAAATTCTTAAGTTTTACATAGTAGTATACTCTTAAATTGCAGTTTTTGTATTTTTTCTCAAAAATGAGATATTTTTCCGCGGTAAAAAGTATCCTATATGTGGACCCGGATAACCAGCTATTACCATATCAAATTTCATGAAAATCCCTCTAGTGGTTTTTCTGTGATGCGGTAACGGACAGACAGACAGACAAAAATTCTAAAAACTATAAATTCGGCCTCTGTATCGATAATAATGTTTATTTCAATAAGATTTTTAAAAAAATATTTAATGTACAGATTTGGCTCGGTTACAATTTTATTATATGTATAGATTATAGATTTTAATTATAAAAAACAAAATGTATTCACCTGGAATAATCTGAGAGATCAATATTTGTCGGTTCGTCAGCATTGGAGCCTTCTTTTAATAATCGTGTGACAATTTTTGTTCTTAATCTTTCTTTGCTTGGATCTTCATCATAAAAATCTAGTAATGTTTCGCAAAATGTACGACCTAGACTTTCATAATCTTGGGCAGTGAAATGCGTTGACATTCTACTACCTAATTCTGATCCGCCAAACGATGCTTCCATAGTGTAACTGTTTGCTACTCCCAACATCCAAATAACAACTCTTGCGGTACCTTCTTTACTACGTTGAATTCTAAATTTACAATGTTCAAATGAAAACTGAAATATTTTGGATAAAATATAAACAGTTGAATTTGTAAGTTCAATACCATTGGCAATCATAACAGAAAATATACCTTATCAGCCGCATTTTTATGTAACATCAAAGGAAAAACTTGTTCTTGCAGACGCCTGTCAGTATTTTTTCGACTTTCGCACCCATAAATAAATACATTATGCTTTCTTGAATGAGCATGTAGATCTACGTACATTGCAACACCGCATTCCTCCTGTAACCTACGCTAAATTAAGTAAAGGTTGTTTAAAGATACTAAGCATTTTGCTTTCACACTCACCTTCTTATCATTACTTTAGTATGCCATACAGGAGGGTAAGTTTCTCTAATCACGGTTCGGTATTGTCTATTTAGGTCTTTTCCGGTGAGCGAGCATCGATTGTTCCCAACAATAACCTGAAATAACAACAATATAATAAAAACGAAAGGTTCTTACACGCGAACAACAATGTAATTTTGATAAAGTGAACTATTACATACGCCATCTGGGTTTAACATAGGTACAAGCTTGAAGATAAATTTTTCTCTTAATTCTCGAGCCTGATTAGAATCTCCGGTAAGGAAGTCCATAAAACCTTTCATCATCCAAGATGAAGGCGTCTCGCCTGGATGAACTCGAGCCGTAATAATTACAGCCTTTTTTTTCTATATACCCCAAATAAAATCATGACATTTTTATAATGAATTAATAGTAGAGATACATATACCTACGATTTATTTTATTCTATTAATTTATTCGTTTGTACAAAAACGAAATATTCACACTCCACAAGTGTTTTTAGATGTTGAAAATTTTTATGCTATAATATCTCCAGAGAAAGAATTGACTAAACGATGCTAAACAATTTTATCCTATATCATATATGTCTCCGTCTATCTCACAAGCCGACCGATATATAATTTAGCTATTTAATGACATAATTTTGTGTGCGTTTCTTGACTTATTAATTTAAACTGTGTGTCAAGTCCTATGAAAAGGACAAGATGAGGACTGTGTGAGGAATTTTTAGTTCACTTATTTACTACCATCATATTGTGAAATACTATCTATTGCAGTTATGGCTTTATGTAGGAAAAATGTGACAATTAAATTTGCGCACCTGTTCCTGAGACGGTATATAGGTAAACAATATTGGACTGATGGACCGGAATTCATAAAACTTAATGGTAAACATAAACAGGTAATTTAATTTGACTTTTTCATTGTACATACCAGACATGCTCCAAATAGTTCTGTGTGGTCTCCAATTCTGTGTTTATTCTATATTTTTTACGCAATATTTTAGTGTTCATAAAAAATATTTTTTAAACTTTTACCTTTTGATCCATTTCATTCGGGTTTTGTGGTGCGGTAATTGTTAGATAATACACATTGTTCCCTGCTAAAGTCCTACATAGAAGTCTTAGTTTAGAGTAGGTCGATTTGACAGGATGGGCTTGTAATCTTGATAAATACTCTTGTAGATCAGAATAAGTGTATGGATAACAATGTGCTATATATACTGCATCATCTGTATGTGGGAATTCTAAATTGAAAGTCAATGTATAGCTTGGATATTGTTCTTCTTCCTCACATCTGGAAATAATTTTCATTTAGGTACATTTATACGGTTAAAATAGTAGGTACATATTGTATAATATATTTAATACTAATTTTGTTATAAAATCACCACAATAAGAATATACAAATTATAAAAATAATAAAAAAAAAATACTAACGTGGAATCATTTTTGTAGTATGCGATATTATCGCCGCATCGTCTCCAACCGATCGAATGCAATTGAGCGTCCTTCGTCGAGTATAATAAAGGTCGCATACCCTCGTTATATAGGCTTTCCGGCTTTGATAAATTTACTATTGAAAATCTATAAAATAGTAAAATGATATTTGTAAAATTCATCATTTTCGCTAATATTTATAATTAAATGCATAATTTTCTGAGATTTCTACCTGTACATCATTTGTTTTTTTGTGTTAGATACTCTAAAATAAAACCATTGCATATGTCGATTTGTATAAAGATCAGTACGAAGGTGCAGCTCGTAATAGGCTGAAGTTATTTTAATAGCTTTAGCAAGATTTCCACTTTCAAAACGTGATTCAAATTTTAACTCGTCATCTCCGCCTGCACTGGTGCATGCCGACAGAAATAAACGAGAACCTCCAACTGATGAACGACTAAACTGTAGAAAAAGAAGTATTATTGAAATTCATATTGTATGTTAGTATAGCACGGGCGAATTGAATTTTCGTCGAATTGTAATAACTACTAATTATTGTTCGCTCAGTGGTCATGATTGATGGTGATTATCATTATTGTTTTTTTTTGTTTATAATACTAAAGTTTGTTAATAAAGCTCCTAAACAAGAAGAAATCGGTTGAGAAACAGTAGAAAAAGGTTAAAATATTTTATCTTTGCCTATTTATGAAAACGCCTTTGTTAATGTTTCATTAGTTATTTTGACCTGGTAAATTAATTATTAAGTTTTTCACAAGTAATAGACGATGAACGGAAGAGTAAAAGTATATTGTTCTATAACAATTACATATTAAATCAAGAAATTAGATTACTATTTTTAGAAGTAGTTTGGTTAGTTTGAAAGTTGTTTAGCTTACATAATTTACGGCACTCATGGGATAATATTGAAATATCACTGTCCCTGCTTCTTCTCCAACTGGCTGAGGTTTGAGCTCTTTCCCTGTTGATACATAATACGGCTCAGGAGATGCAGGACTCCACGTTAGATGTTGTATTCTTTCTTCTACTACCTTTGTAATGGACATAAAATGATTAAACTTGATATTCTTAAAACTTAATTAATAGTTGAATCAGTTTCTTCTTTGTAATTTCTACCCATAAATATTTTTTTAAAGATTGAAATCTTTTTCTTACTTGACATTCTGACGGCCATCGGGGTGCTTGTTGTGGGCAATCGAGTTCCTTTGGTAAAGCAAATAATTCTCGTGGTTCTCTAAGTTTCGCTGTAGTTTTGAAAGTTTTTGTATCAGTGTTTATTTCTAATTGATTTGTTTTAATATTATTTTGCAAAAAGTTTGATATAAATGTTCCTGAAATGTAAAAAAGGGTATTATACAATGTACAACCATACTAATATAAATGTGAAAATGTTTGTTTGTGTGTCCTTCTTTCACCTCGAAACAGAGTGACGGAATGCCGTGATTTTTTGTGTGATGGGCTGGAGAGTAACATAGGCTACTTTTTATCTCGGGACATTTTGTCATTCCTAAGGGAAAACAAGTTATAATACAATCCAAAAAATGCTTATGATCGGAATTACTTGAAACTTGGTATTGATACTCTTCAATACAATTAAATAAATACGTGTTTCAGCATTTTTCGAAATTCATCCCATAAGGGTGTAAAATACGGGATGGAAGTTTGTATGGAACCTACTTTTTTAGAATTTTTTGTATTTTTAGTGCGAGCGAAGCTGCGGGTTCTGCTAGTATGTATATAAATTTTGGCTGTATTTTTTTATATATACCCTTATATTTATACAGTGAATAAATAAGTGTTTATGCTTTACTGTCCTTAATTTACAGTTTACCTTTGTTACATATAGGGAAAAGAGAAGCTTGTAAAGTTTTCACTTGATCTATATTTGCTATCAATAAATTGTCTTGCAATATCGGATCTCTAGTAGGTAGCGTTAAGGTAAGCGTTGAGTTATCATTGTAGTCTCTTCTCTGTTCTTCTCGCTCTATCATTATAAAGTTGTCTTGGACGCACTCTAATTGTTTCCACCATAACATTTTATTTAACTTATAATAATTAAGTACAACTAGTTGGTTAATCATACACTTTCACTCTTGGAGTTTTTGTAAAGCAATATTAAATATCCTGTCACCATGGCTGCGAAATTATTTAGATTAAAAATATCGATGGTTTTTTTACTACGGCTGACTGGCAAGTGAAACAACGCACGGAAGCGTACTGAAGTTTTCGTGTTAGGGCCAAAAGTTACTTTGATTCGGAGACGAAAACCTTTCTGATGTCATGCTTCGATCGCTTTACGTTTTATCAAGTGATTGGTGACGTCAGATGGTATGAGAGCTTGAAACCGCTAACAACTACTGATGAAATTTGATTAAAACATCAATTACCGTACTTAATTTGTAACAATCGTTTGCTTTAATATTTGAAAACAAAATTACCTACATATCTTTAATTTTAACCTATTTTACTATTTTTTCACATAAAATACATAAAGTAATAATAATAAATAAAGTAATAGTAATAAATTACGTAAAGTATAGATATCTGAAAGCTTACCATTAGAGTTAACTGTGGCCATTTCTTTGTCAACTTCATTGTTATCAATATTTTTTATCGCCATCTCTACTTATTCATTGTTAAATTACAAATTTTAATAAGCACAAAAAGTCACGATAGATGAAAATTAAATTTTTGCAGCGAGACAAAATTTTTTTTATCTCCTCTTTCACTGATGATCTAATTGAAAATTCAATACTTTTACTAAAACTGTTAAATATTAATGATATTATTAATAGTAATTTGACATTCTTATTTGACTCAAATTCATATACCTATTCTAACGGTTCGTAGGAAGGCTGAAAGGTGACTGCACTTCCTAGTAGGTAATATGTAAACTTGTGTGAAAGCGATGAACGTGAAAACTTCGCAGCTGCATGCGATAAAGCCCTTTCATTTTTTACGTGTTCAAAAAAAAAAACTATTTTTTTATCATGATTTTCTTAAATATTTTTCAATATATTTTGTTGATATGTATTTATTGAGGTCATTGTGGTGTTGTGTATATGTTGAGTTCAATATCTTAATCTTATCAACTGAAATGTGAAGAAGAATGCAATAATTTATTACTTTTTGTATAGTAATATTCTAAAATTTTGGTTAAAGTATTTCTTTTTTATTTATAAAAGCTTTTACTCTACGAATATATTTTTTGAAGAAATAAAAATTTAATATGATCTAAAAACATAAAGAAATAATAAATGAAAACAAATCATACTTACATTAAGTGTAATCATACTTATTTTGTTTATATGAGTTTAGTGTAAATACATGAATTAAATGCCAGTTACTTTTATTAGTAGACGTTGCTATGGTAATGTCGCAAGTAGGTCGATAGTTAGAACGGTTATATGGAAAACGCTTTCAGGTAAGATAAAGTGTATACTTATATCTTTTTTGTTGAATATACTGAAACTCTTGATCATAGGAACTTACCTACTTAGATAGCACCATAGTTAAATTGTGTAATTTCTAATAGAATTAACTATCTACATACTTATCAGTTATTGTGTTAAGATAAATAAATTCTGCTTGCTTATGTAACTTTGCATTGAATAATAATTGAGATTTTCAATGCACTCTAAATATATTTTGTTTTTATAGAACGCCAATGCTTTACTATTATAAATCCCATATAGATATTATTATTTATGTTTCCGTTTTTGTATGCATTAGATACAATAAAAATTAATACGAGGGGACATTTTTGATTATGTACTCTGATGAATATGAACTTTAATAACAATTTTCAATTAAAAAAATATGTGTAATTAAAAGGTTGTTTTAAAGTTCAGACGTTGACTTCACGATAATTTGAATCGTGAGCTAACTTTCTGTATATTATACACATATGATTGTACAATGCAGTTCTATATTTATAGTAGCCTATATCCCTTGCTTTCCTTTTTTTTTTTATAGCACGTCGGTGGCAATCAGGCATGCGGCCCGCCTGATGGTAAGCGGTTACCGCAGCCTATGGATTATTATTATTATATCCTTTAGTTCTAACTTCATTACAATATATAGTATATACATAAAGTAAACAGAGTTCCTTCTCTTCTTCTGCATTTTACATTTATGTAAGAATTAGCATTGCCCGCGGCTCCGCCAAACCAAACCAAAAACCAAATTCTGAGGCTTTACATATTAGTATACTCGTAGTCTCTTACATTCCAGTTTTTGTATTTTTTCTCAGAAATGAGACATTTTCTCGCGGTAAAAAGTATCCTATATGTTGACCCATTAAAATCCCTTGTAAAATGGTTTTTCTGTGATGCGGTAAGAGACAGACAATTATTCTAAAATCTATAGATTCGGCCTCTGTATCGATAATAATGTTTATTTCAATAAGATTTTCTAAAAAGTATTTAATGTACAGATTCGGCTTAGTTACAATTTTATTATATGTATAGATTAACGGCAGTTTTCCAATGACCAGTAAATGCTTCTATTAATTTTCTTGCTGACTGTAGGATCCGTTTCTCTAGTGGTAAAACGGCTAATGGATGTAAGATTTCTTCTGAAGATAAGATTTTCTGCTTTATGTTCAATGGTTAACACGTTTTTTTTTGGAATAGAATAGAACAACTACAATGTAAAGTTTAAATAATTAAAAAAAAAACGAATTCTTTTCTTATAAAATAATTACCTAAAATCTATAAATCTGGTTCTAAAAATATTAGAATGTCCAAAACCTATGGATCTTACACAAAAAGTTAATTATACGGAGGTTCACCGCTGTAATGTCCATTTCTGAATTTTGTTCCTTACTTGAATATTGCTAGGTTTCTCCCGAATTGTAACACAAATAAATATTGAAAGTGTACTTAATTTTGTGTTGGTTTATTCATCTTTCACGCAGTAATGAAGGTAAGGTCGTGAATTTATGTGTAAAGATATTTTAGGGGTAGCACACTCCTGGATTGCCCATATAGACTTTTTATCTCAAAACATTAAGTATAATAATATTAAGTTATAGGCAAGCGTTTAATAGCCATATATTTTAGCTTTAGAGAAATTCTAATTTCAGTTTTAACAGTGCGTAGGCCACTTGTAACCCTAGTCACAGGGCTCGGGGCGAGGTGACTGGCCGAAGTTTGGTACGACCTGGCACCGATCGATTTCGTTGTCGTGTGTCGCTCGTCAATGAGTGCTAATATTGTTCGTATTATATAGTAATTCATAATGTTTAAAAGTTTAATTTTTCTGTGATTAGTTTTTGTATCTCTTAAAGTAGGACTGGAGAGTTATTAATAAATCTATCCTGTCTGGTTTTTTTGTCTAATTTATGTCCTACAATGTATTGGTATTTTTCGTATGATATTCGAGCAAATATGAAAATGGAATATACAGTTCTTGCAGATCTTAGTATTCGACTCCTGAAATTATGCAATCATAAAGAATCTGGAAGACTCCGTGTTTAGAGATCGTGATCACGAATTTGGCATCCTCTATAAAAAATGCACAATATTTCGATTGTTCATTCTACGAATTGTTAATAGTCGGGGAGCCCAAGAGGGGATTAATATAAGTGTACCTTGTACTCTATTGAGTACACATCCACCATATTTAAGTTCTCTGTATAAAGTCGCGCGTCTAGGGCAACCGTTTAAAATATTTAAAGAATTTTTTGATATGTTAGTTTGATAATTACTTAATTATATATTATTGGTGGAGGTACTCAACAGAGTGAAGGATATTCTCCCTTACGCTAATCAGCCGCGCTTGAGAAAATCCAAAAATTCCCGCTTGGGCTCCTCTTCTATAATATGTCGTAACAATTTGCAATGATTAACAGGTTACTTCAAAATGGGTCGGAAAGTTGTAGTTGCGGTATGTACTCTAAATCAGTGGGCGCTCGATTTCGAGGGTAATTTAAATAGAATTTTGCAATCTATCCAAGAGGCCAAAGAGATGGGCGCTCTTTATAGAAGCGGACCCGAATTAGAAGTATGGTATGTCCATAAAATTAGTTATTTTTCATGTGTAAAATACATTTTAATTTTACAAGTCTAATGTAATATGTTTTTAAATTATAGTTATATATATTTAATTGGCTTTACAGTGGATACAGTTGTGAAGATCACTTTCATGAGCCCGACACATTTTTACATAGTTGGCAAGTTTTGGCAGAACTGCTTAAGTCACCAACTTGTAAAGATATCCTCATAGATGTGGGTATGCCAGTCCAGCATCGAAATGTCTCATACAATTGCCGAGTTGCATTTTTAAACAAAAAAATATTATTGATTAGACCAAAGATGTTGATATGTGAAGACGGAAATTACAGAGAAACTAGGTGGTTTTCTCCTTGGACAAAAGTAAGAATAATCATTTGGAATTCAAATTATTAAAATTTGCTTATTACTGTAAGGAACGAGCAAATTTGTGGTACTTAGGATAAATCTGATTGGTACTGCTGATTGTGTTAGAAGTCGTAATTTCGATTTCCTCACTGGGTAAATGTTTGTCTTGACCATACCAAATATACTTTTGACCATATAAATATACTTACTGATTTCGAGAACATCACGTCATCAACGAGAAAGTACATTTAACCAGTACTTACACATTGTATGGGAAATAATATAATTAGCTTTCTTATTTCAGGATAGACAGATAGAAGATTATTATTTGCCAAGAATGATAACTTCTATAACTAATCAGACGACGGTGCCTATTGGAGATGCAGTTATCTCTACCATAGATACATGCATTGGTTTTGAAATTTGTGAAGAATTGTGGAATCCTCAAAGGTAAAATGCTTTGATAGGTAATGTTATAAGAAGTTTCAATATCTTATACTATTTTAATTGTTACTTTTCGAACAAGCTTCAAAGAAAATAAGACAAACTACGAAATATTAGGATAACATAAATAAATAAATATATATCTTGGGACATGATGTTATCTTAATTAAGAATAAAGTAATTTCTATAAGGTTGAAAAAACTTAGTATTATATTCATATCGTTAAATAATTATATTTTGCAGTCGTCATATACCTTTAGGTCTTGACGGTGTAGAAATAATATCAAACGGATCCGGAAGTTATATGGAACTAAGGAAAGCATACGTAACGGTTGATTTAGTAAAAAGTGCGTCATTTAAAAGTGGAGGTGCATACTTGTTTAGCAATTTGCGAGGATGTGATGGACAAAGAATTTATTTCAACGGTTGTTCCTGTGTAGCGGTTAATGGAGAGATTGTTAGTCGATCGTTACAATTTGCTCTGCATGATGTCGTAAGTATTGATCTTAATTCTAGAATTTTCGATGGTTAACATTTATCTATTTTCAAAAAAAAATATTCATCATCACCCAACTGCTAGACTCGAAGGCCTGATATTTTGAAAGCCTATTTCTATAATAAAAGGAAATTAGAACCTCCACACAAAGATTAAATTATTTTTAGTGCTTGCGTAGTAAATTAATATACAAGAGCAGGCTAAGCAACACTATAATATCAATATATTGCATATGTTACAGTGAAAACTATTTTCCAGTCAAAAGTAGTTTTGACGTCAAATATTGGTCAATATCACTTTAGACTGATATTGAACAAGAGCGTTTGTCAAAATTACTTTTAATAAATAAAAAATGGCTTAACCTAACATTGCATTATTAGTATAATTCTTTGCCGTTTCATTCTTCAATCTACTACCTCCTTAACATCTTAAGAGCTTTTCCGATATGACAATCAAAATTGCTATGGACTGTTTGTGTCAGTCAAAAGTAAATTTGACCACGAAAGAGTATGAATGACTGCAACGTATAAACTATACTACTTTATACATTAAATAACATATTGGTGCAATTTCAGGAAGTGATAACGGCAACGATAGATTTAGAAGACATACGTTCGTATCGCACAAATAAGCGATCTAGATCGCATTTGGCTGCGTCCAATCGACCATTTCCTAGAATTTCAGTAGATTTTTCACTGTCTGATGAAGATGACGTGCATTTGATAATTAGTCCACCTATAGAATGGAAATACTTGACACCTGAAGAAGAAATTGAATTAGGTATCTATACTAATAATAGATTATGATGTAAATATAATACACGCGAGTATCGCCGGGTCTACTGAAAGCTTTCCCGTGGATCGATTAAATTTAGTTCAAGCTATAATACTTTCTTTATTTGACATTTTAAATAAAACTATCTTTACGGATTGTTTTGCAGATATTTAGATTTTTGGTTCCGGACGTTTCGAATGCTTTACAGCAATCATGGTCACACGTTATTATGATAAAATAAAATTTATTATTTAAGATTTTTTTTAACATTTTTGTTTAGGCTAAGAACCATTATTAGTATAAATAAAATAATAATATTTATCAATAATATTCTGGAATAAATTGTAATTTTTAAAAGAATGGGTTGGCCTATTTCGGGGTTGGTTTAACGTGAAAGGTCCAATTCAGCGAGTGGCTGTTAATGTTACAGATAGGAATGAAAAAAAAATGACTTCGTTCTAATTGTTCTAATACTATACTGAATAGGTAGTGTATATAAAGTTCATTCGATTAATATTGGAGAGTAATTTTGTTAAAAAATTAGTCTGTGATATGACAAATAAGAAACATAAGGCGTTGTTTACTGAGCGTGCTTTGGCAGCTTTGAGACACTCTCAGTAATCAGAACTGCCTTGCTGACTCAGCGCCGGATATATATTGGTATCTATGCATAGCCCATAACCCCTTCTGATGAAAACCGTGATTTATATTTCTGGCTAGCTACAGCACGAGCTGAGACCGATAAATTGTATTTTTATATTTTTTATACACTTGCTGTTTATTATTATATATATGATTACTATAGATTTTGTCCAAATTACACGTATTTTTATTTAAATTGATCGGCCGGAATAAATAATATAAACACATTAGTAAATCACAGCGCTATCACGTGTGAGTCGTGAGTTATACACGACTAGAAAGGAGCGAGAATTGCGATTTCGATTATACTGAGCAGTGCCCTATCCCAGCGACCCCGCCCAATCTTGACGCAAAGTCAAGGCCATAACAGCGGGCTGACTGTATAAGCTGAATAATGCCACTAGATTTATGTTTCTAAGATTAATAGTTTTGTAATTATTGAAATAGACGATATAGACGATTTCGTTACGCAGTACTACGACTACGTTTCGTTACACACGCTGGGGGCATTCAGCACGAATGTTTGTACTCCAGTCATGGATGTTTATATTTATAATATGTATGTATTTAAAGTTATATATGTGTAGTGTATCATCTATCCATAACACAAGCCTCGTAGCATGAAACTAGATGGTGCTGTGTGTTAATGTCCCAACATATTTCTTATTTATTATTATCAGGACCGGCGTGTTGGTTGTGGGACTACCTGCGACGGTCCGGTCAGGGCGGCTTCTTCTTGCCACTCAGTGGCGGGGCGGACTCGACCAGTACGGCGTGTATCGTTTTCTCAATGTGCACTCAGATATGTGAGGCGGTGCAGAAAGGAGGTATTATTAGTATAAACATGACATGTATAAACGTTTAGTAGAGTATTAAATTCAAATTATGTAATATTTTTATTGTAGATTATATAGTATTTTTCTCTAGTACTTATATATGATATATAGCCTATAGCCTTCCCCAATTAACGGGCTATTTAATGCAAAAAGAATTTTTCAAATCGGATTAGTACTTCCTGAGATTAGCAAATAAACAAACAAACAAAGTCGGCATTTATATAATATGTATTAGTATAAATTTATATGTACATGTGATGTCAACATGGCATATAACCAGCGAACGACCAAACCGCTTCTAACGATACCTCATTTGTCAAATTATGCTAATTATCATAAGTTTAGAAGTTATGAGGGAACAGTTGAACATACATACACACCAGTTAAAATCATAACCCTCCTTTTGCTTCGCCGTAGTCCGGTAAAAAGTGACATATTAACCCTTTTTTTCAGAAAGTCAAGTTTTATATGATGTAAGGAAAATCCTCTGCCAATCTGATTACACACCGTCCGACCCGATGGAGTTGTGTAATAGGTTGCTAGTGACTTGTTACATGGCGTCGGAAAATTCCAGTAACGAAACTAAACAAAGAGCCTCACAAGTAAGTTAAATGGCTTAGTGACATGATAATTAGTATGTAGATCGTTTTACTTTATATGGTAAAGTGTTACTTAAAGTTATTTATATGGTAAGTTATATATACTAGCCAAGTGATAAGCGCTCGCTTGGGAAACTGAGTGAAGCGAGTTCAAATTCGGGGTCTCGCCTCACTCACCTCTGATTTTTTTTTGTGCGGATCATTTCCAAAATGATAACCACTTGCCTTACGGTGAAGGAAAATATCGTGAGGAAACTTGAATATCTGGGAGAAACTTACAAGTTTTCGAAAGACATGTGAAACCCACCAACCCGCTCTTGGTCAGCGTGGTGGACTATAGTGTAATTCCCCATATAGTAAAGGGAGGACCTTGCCCTTGGCTAGCTGTGGGTCGATAAAAAAGGGCTGAATACAATAAATAAAAGCTTATAAGTTTATAGTTAATGAGTAAGCCATCATAGATACTGATGATGTTCAAATGCTTACTAATTTTATTTAATAGCAGCCACCGGTCGATAAAACTTTTCTCACTAATATTACACATGCAAAGTGTTTGATTGAGTACACTTGTTGATTCCTCACACTATAACAGCTCAATGTATTTAAATGAATTAAGAAATGAAGTTAGCTTATTTTCTGGAATATTAACTACTGCTTTTTTCTATGTAGATACCCCACGAGTGATGCTGTAGTTAAAAAAAAATAGTTTAACACAAAGAAACTAGGAAAGTTAATTAATATTAAGTATCTCCACATTTTTAATATCGCCCAAATATGTAATTAATTGTATTTATTTTTCAGCTTGCCAGTGAAATAGGTAGTTATCATTTCCCCATACTGATTGATTCTGCCGTGAGTGCAGTTATAGGAATATTTACTACTGCGACTGGATTAGTTCCTAAGTTCATGAGTAAGGGAGGCTGTCCGAGGCAAAATCGTGCCTTGCAAAATATTCAGGTAAGCGTTTAAAATGTAAATGGTTTTAGGTTCGATTACTGCTCTAAGTAAAACATATTTGTAGTTTTTGGATTTTATTTTAGGCGCTTTATATGTTTAGTAACAGCTATATACATGTATACGTATCTTAGAAACTATTTAATTTAAAAATAAAAAATAATCCTTTTAAAGAATATCGAACTTGAACAAACGTTTTACATTGACGATGAGTAGGTTCTCTAGCGGCAAGTTTTAGAACTAACTTTAACCGATAAAATCAATATTTAGTGTGTATATTTTTTTTTAATATAAAAATGTAGATTAAAGCATTTACAGGTAAAATATGTAATAAGTATTGTAATCGCAATAGAATGTGTGCTGTAAACTTTTTTTATTAGTTCTAAAAACAAGCACTAGGGATCTATCTAATCACCGTAATTTATAGTCGAATATCATAAAATATGTATTTAGTAAGTATTGTTTCATACACAGGCTCGTCTCAGAATGGTATTAGCGTATCTTTTTGCACAATTAATGCTATGGGCGCGAGGAAGGCCGGGTGGTTTGCTAGTTTTAGGCTCGTCTAATGTGGACGAAGCGTTAAGGGGTTATATGACCAAGTATGATTGTTCGAGCGCCGATGTTAATCCTATAGGAGGAATATCCAAGACCGATTTGAAATCTTTTCTACAATATGCAAAGAACCGGTAAGTTTATATTTGTTGTTATTATATTTTGTTATTGTATTATATTTTGATATCGTAAATTAATGTGTTATGGAGATAATTACGTTTGCAGCAGTCAGGAGGTCGAAAAAAAACCGAATAATTAATAATTATTTATTAATTTTACATTAATACAATAATTATATATCTTAAAACTAACGACGTCTTTACTCGAAGTATGAATAAAGAGTGATTGGAAAAGTATTACAATTAATAAAATTACTAAATTAAAACAATGCGGCATTACAAAACTAATTCAAGGAACTCTGCGGTGGTCGCCTGGGAAACGTACATTTATTTGATATGTCAGCATATTCGTGGGATTAGGGTTCCGTAACTCCTCCACCCCTAGAGAGGCAACTATTTGAGAATGTTGAGTGAAAAAGTTGCCGGAATACTTGTGTCCTTAAGATTCTCTGGGTTATCTCCATTTTCTAAAATTTCTTCCTTTTTTGCAGTAGTTTTCTTATACTTTCTATAGTGTAATAAAATGATAAGTGCACCTGCACTGAATAATATTGCGTATACTGGTATGGTTGTATGATATACTGTAATATCCTTTTCGCGTTCAATTTGTAGCGGTGATTGTATCATAATTTTGTCCTTGAGTCTATGGAGTCCTTGAATATTTATAGATGATATATTAATAGTTGTATCTAGGTGCGCAATTTCATCGGGTATCTTCATCAATTTTAAGGGCTGTCCTCTAACTTCGTTGTTGTCATTAATTAACGTAAATTCTTCGGATATGATTTTGCATCCTAGGGGAATAGTTATTAGGTAGCTGCCTTTTAATGAAGTGAATTCCTGTTTACCGCACGATATTTGTATCTTTTGATGCTGGGGGAACGATATAAGGTAGTGCATATCGTCTAGTTTCTCCATTGATTCTCGTAGAAGATTTACTGTAGTTAAGTGACAAGATTCCTTCAAAATCTGTTTAACAATTAGTTCGTGGATACAATCTGAATTTGTACGAATCTGATGATTGAGTTTCATTTCACAGAGATACCAGCTGCTATGTCTCGGGCATTCGGCCTCTATGTACACGAATGAATTCTCGTTAGTTGCAATGAAAGGAGAGGATGGGATGAGAGCCTGCGATTTTTTATTAGGTACTACTGCTAATTTATATAATAAAAAATTATCCTTAGAAATAATAGGAAATCGGAATATAAAAACTATTTGCTTATTAGCATAATAAGAAGCTGGTTGGATTATATTATAATATTCTCTTAATTCTAAATTTAAAATACACTATTTTCCGTAGATATACTTAAGCTTATCTATCATTGAACTTAATACATCTATACTAATCATGGAATGGTGCATGCTTGATGCATGAATAAAAGCTAAACTATTTTCTATTCTTAGTAATTCGTTCATTAAATCGTCTATGTTTTCACTTAGTATTACTAAAAGTTGGGCAAATTTGGCATATTTAATTAAAGTTGTATTATCTATATTGTTAGAAAGTATTAACATTAAGGTGCTATTAATTTTACTTTGATTTTCTACTAGTTGAGTCAAAACGCTATTATATTTAGTGATCCATTCTTTGCTTATGCTTAACTGATTATTAAGTTCATTTGTAATTTTTTCCTGATTACTTTCTAATAATTTTATAGCTTCATTATACCTTAAAGCATCCGTATAATCTAAGTTTCCTGTAATACTTTTTATAACTGTTCCGAGTCCATCAATAATCCCTCTTTTAGACCTGTTGGGTTGTAAGGATTTAATTTGATATAATATGTCATCTAATTTGTTGAGCAAGTAATTTATTTGAATTTCATATACTGAATAAGTGTCATTAGGTAATTGATTTTTGTAATTGTGCAAATGGTTTTGTAGACTGTGTGTTTTATCTTCTATGTCGTCGAGTTTTATGTATTGTAAGAATGTGTGGTAATGTGTCGTTGTTTTCATCGGTCCAAGTTTGTAGGGAAGTATTCCAGGTCCATCATCAAGACTCTCGAATTTAATTTCCTGAAGATGTACCAGGGGTAGTATCATGAGCACCAGGATTCTGTAACAAATTCGCTGCTTTAGGGATTCGCTTTAGTCGCGACTTTGCTATAGGGCCACGTTTCTTTTTAGTGTAAATATGTATAGGTAAATCGGCAAGGACAGTGTCCTGTGTATATCTTGGGGCTGTTTTTTGTCTTTCAGCTAATGGGTTCCTTACAAAGATCTGCTGATCGGGCGCATACTCTATCTCAGGTTCGCGTGTCTGATTCCTATTCTGGATAAGGGTCGTTCGGTTACTAAGGGACGATTGGTTAACGATATCATATACTTTTTTCATCTGTTCTTTATGTGTCTGTAAGTATTGCTGTAACGTTTGTTGAGTAAGGTCAATGTCAAGGCAGTCTCTAGGGTCAAAGTGTCCGTTTAACAAATCAAAGGGTCTACATCTCGTGAAACTGTGTATAGAACTATTGTAAGCTATTAAAGCGTAAGGCATAAGGTTCACAATGGGTTCGTCTTTATGTTGTAATTTTAAAAGTCGCAGATGTTCAAGGAGAGTCGAATGGAATTTTTTCAATATTTCCGTTGCCATTAGGAGAATGAGCTAAAGTTTTGTGGTGGTTAATTTTGTGAAGTCTAGTAAATTCGTTAAATAATTGGTTAGCAAATTCTGTTCCATTGTCAGTAATAATAGTCATAGGGACGCCATGGTGGGTACAATATTGTAAAAGGGCTTGTAACACGCTGACGGCTGTTCCATCACGTAAGTAATAAGCTTGTCCGTATTTGGTAAAGACGTCTATGAAAGTCACGTATTTGATATTCTGTATTGTCAGTAAGTCTATGTGAATAATTTCAAATGGTTTTGTCGCTGGAGGTACAACATTAAATTGAGGTCTGACCGGATTTCGATCGTACTTGGCTTGTCCGCATATAGTACATTCTGTGATAAATTTAGTTATTTGATCCTTCATTTTCGGCCAAAAGTAATTTCGTGATAATGATAAATAGGTTTCATTGATTCCTCGGTGATTCGTCTTACCCTCATGATAATGACGAATGATTTCCTGCTGTCTAGGGTATTCTTTAACATTTTCTATTTCAGTTTTTACTAAGACTAGATTCATTGCGGATGATTTAAATTTACTTTGTAAAATTGGAATTATTGTATACATATCTAAAGTAGGATAAACTAAAATAGCTGTCTTAATTTTAGAACTAATGTATTCCTTTACGGCGTTAACTAAATCTTCCTCTAAATTAGATTTACTTAACTGGATGTTAATTCGAGTGTGTTTTTCGAAAGGCTTTGATACTGAAGCTTTTCTTTTTATACCGTCAACTATAGTAAAGATTACTTGTCTATGAAATTTATTAAGAGGTTCATCAGTAATCGGTATTTCTAAAATAGGGTTTTCGTGACTACTGTGTGCCGTTAATGTAGAAGAGTTAGATTGATGAGATGCGGAAATTGTTGAAGAGTTTGATTTTTCAGGAGCAGATATCGTAGAAGAATTTGATGCTCTGCGCAAGGTATACGATGGATTGCCTAATAGTGAATTTAATTCATCGATTTCTTCTATTAATGAATTTGTTTCTCCCGCGTGTATTTCTATTCTAGAGAGAGCGTCCGCGTTAGTATTACTTTTACCCTTTTTGTATATTACTGTATAGTCGTATTCGCTTAAACGTAAACGCCATCTTGTAAGTCGTGAATTCGGTTCTTTTAAATTCATCATCCATTGCAATGGCTTATGGTCAGTGACTATCTTAAACTTTCTACCAAATAAGTAAGGCCTAAAGTATTTTGTAGCCCAAACTATGGCCAATAACTCTTTTTCTATGGTACTATAATTTTGTTCACTATCGTTAAGAGTCCTAGAAGCGTAACAAATTGGTCTATCGGATCCTATAGGGCCTTGTGATAAAATAGCCCCTATGGCCACGTTAGATGCATCGGTCGTCAGGTTAAATTCTTTATTAAAATCAGGGTATTGAAGTATTGGATCATTCGTTAAAACTGTTTTACATTTTTCAAAGCTTGATATATATTCATCATTTAAAATAATTTTCCTACCTTTTTTTAGACATAGTGTAAGCGGTTTTGTTAGTTTTGCAAAGTCCGGAATAAATTTACGATAGTATCCAACTAAGCCTAGGAATTGTTTTATTTCTTTTGGTGTTTTTGGTATGGGGTATTTCTCTATTGCAGCTATTTTTTCGGGGTTAGGTTTTACTCCGTCCGCGCTTATAATATGGCCTAGAAAAGCTGTTTCATGTTTTAAAAATTCCGATTTATCCATTTGGATTTTTAAAGTTAGATTCGCGGAGTCTCTGAAAAACTTTTTGTAAATTTACTATATGCTCTTGTAGGGATGTACTATAGACAATAATATCATCCATATAAACTAGACAAATAGAGTTTTGTAGACCTTTCAGCACATCATCCATTACTCGCTGAAAGGTCGCCGGAGAATTTTTTAATCCCATGGGCATACGAAGGAATTCATAATGTCCATGCTCGACATTAAATGCTGTTTTATGTATGTCTTGAGGATCTGTCTGTACCTGATAAAATCCGCTAGCTAAATCTAAAGTTGTAAAATACTGGCATTTTCCTAATTTATCTAATACGTCATTTATGTTAGGGATTGGATATTTGTCATCTATTGTTTTTTCGTTTAATTTGCGAAAATCAACTACTATTCGCCATTTTCTTTTACCAGATGCGTCTACCTTTTTTGGCACAACCCATATGGGTGAGCTCCAAGCCGAATTAGAGGGCCTTATTATTCCCTGATCGAGCATTTTACCTATTTGCTCCTGTACTTCCTGTCTATGAACGTATGGGTATCTATAGCTTTTCGTGTGAACGGGGACTTCATCGGTAGTTTTAATTGAATGTTTTATTTTATTTGTAAATGTAAGGGGTTCGCCTTCTAGATAAAATACATCAGCGTACTGGGTACACAATAGTTCTAAGTTTTTACGTTCCTCAACGTTAAGATGCTCTGTACGAAGTCGTGTCAGAACGTCTTTTACACGTCGGGATTGTTCAGTGCAAGTGAAATTTATATTGTTAATTTCAGCAGAGACGGCTCGGTCCATTGAAAATATTACATCATTCCTACTGGGATTTTTAACTTCTACAATACCCCTGCTATTTTTGACTGACGTAAGGCATTCACTAATTACGCAATTTGAAATTTTTTGTTCTTTTACGTATGCTTCGCCGTCGTGCATATTAATAGGGATTTTTAACAATTTCGATTGACCTGCTGGAATTATATCTTCGTATAAATTTTGATTACGGGAATCGTGTACGTGTATGGGGTTTGAAGCAGTTTTGGTAATTAAAGTTTTATTTTTATAATCTATTACTGCTTCCCATTTGTCTAATAAGTCAGTTCCTATAAGTCCATCGAAAAAGTCATGAAATTTATATACATAAAATGTTATATTATTCGGGTCATTAAATTCATAAAAGCTTGGTATAGTTATTGAATAGTTACTTCTAGTTTTGGCATGAACATTACATACTTCAAACGGATCGTAGTTTAAAGGAAAATTATACAAATATTTTTCTACAACTGCTGGGCTTAAAAACGATTGGTTGGCTCCCGTATCTATTAATAATTTTAGTGGTGGTGATAATATTTGAATATATGGAAGGTGACGTTGTGTATGTAGATTTATTTCTATTTTAAGGTGTCGGATTTGGAAATTTTCTGAAAATCCTGTTCAGTATTGTCAAGTGTACTATCGTTATTGGTTTCTATTCGTGACGTAGTGGGATTATCGTTATAGTTTTGGGAATAAGTCTCATAGTCATAGAGATATTCCATGTATTCGTCACTGTTGTAATAAGATTCAAAGTCTGTGTAATAATCGTACGGGTCGTAATCGTCTTCGCAAATATTAAAATTCATTTCTCTTGATTTAAAATAATTTCTTGGGGGAGGGTTACCGTATTTTTGCCAATTATGTCCTGTAAGCGTATGTTGTGTTGGTGGCAGTGGTCGAGGCGCAAAATGGCTCACGCCACTCATAGGTCTGGGAAATCCATTGCCTTGATTAGGCCTGTGTGTAATATTATTTCGAGGTGGTAACCTAAACATGTGACTGTTAGGGTTGTAGTTCGGAGGTGGTGCACCGAATATTCTTTGTGTGTGTGTGGGTTGTCTAGGGTGCTGGTGTTCATTGTTAAATTTAAAAGGCTGTGTGTTAGGTCTAGATGGTGTCTGTCCTATACTTGGTGGAAATATGCGTGGTGTGAATGTGTGGTGAGTAGCGTTGGGTATAGTGGTTACGGTTTTGTTAGATTTTGAAACCTCGTAACGGCTGTGCATATACATAGTATTCAGTTCTTCCTGTACATATTCAAGAGCTTTTTCTATTGTTAGTGGTCGCATACAACGAATGCGGGACCCTAATGGTTCCTTAAGACCACGAACATAGGCCTGCATAGTTACTTTTTTATACAAATCGCGTTTTGCTTCGATAGTGGTGGATAGTGTCTCATGCAGTGTAACGTACGTCATTAACGTGCTAAACAAATTTTGACAATGGTCATAGAATTCTTGAGGGCTTCTATTACCCTGTGTGGCTAAGGAGAGATCATTGTATAGGGCGGTTTCATCCCTTTGATCGGAAAAGTTATTAATTAAAAGTGTTTTAATTCCTAGCCAACTGTCGGGTATTCCGTTTGAATTAATTTTGCTTGCTGCTGTTCCTGTTATTTTATTTAAAATTCCATTTAATAGGCAAATGTTAGAAAATTCACTACCTGGTAAGTCGCTTAGATATTGGATCGCTAAATGGTCACAAATTTGGATAAATCTAGTTAAAACATTTGGGTTCCCGTCGAACTCCGGGACAAGGCGGAGGGCCTTAAATATGATATCCGGATCGTGAGACATATTAACTAAATTAATTAAATTAGAAGGACTACAATCTAAATTTAAATTTATAATTTCTTCCGAATTAATATTTCTTATGCTATCTATACCTAACCGACGGGCCTGCCTAGATTGAGGCTCTCGGATCCTAGATGCTTTAGGATGGAAAATTTTGGTAGCTTATGGATAGGCTTAGGTCTAGAAAGGAGCAACACGAGAACAATTCTTATGTACTCACATAAACTGCATTATCTGGTCTCTTTTCACTTGAATCGATTGTTGGATTCCACTCCCGGCTGCCACAGGTCCGTAGATTCTGGATTCTCGAACGGTGCTTGGTAGTCACCCGGGCGGCACGCGACGCGATGATAAGTATCGAGTAATTAATTTAGACCGATCGCGAACCGGCCCGCGAAAATCCTACCGACTGCGCCAATTACGTTTGCAGCAGTCAGGAGGTCGAAAAAAAACCGAATAATTAATAATTATTTATTAATTTTACATTAATACAATAATTATATATCTTAAAACTAACGACGTCTTTACTCGAAGTATGAATAAAGAGTGATTGGAAAAGTATTACAATTAATAAAATTACTAAATTAAAACAATGCGGCATTACAAAACTAATTCAAGGAACTCTGCGGTGGTCGCCTGGGAAACGTACATTTATTTGATATGTCAGCATATTCGTGGGATTAGGGTTCCGTAACTAGATTCTATCTGTTTTATTTATACTATACATTCATATATCTCTTTGTGATCCTGTCCTGTTAAAGTTTTAAACCGTATGTTTAATACGTAAAAATCATTCAACAGATTCTACCCTCTTTATCCTGCAAAGATTACTTATACCTATGTGAGTTGCATTAAAATTACTTATTGATAATCTGCATATTAGCCTCCCAGATGTGATATCATATAATATATGACGTATAAGATCCATTTGTATAGCTTAAACAGATATTTAGCACTTACCATAGTCGAACCCGCGACCTCAATCAAGATTGTTAAAATTCCACATTTAAATTGCTTAGTATTTAATAGATTTTTCATTCTACCACAGCTTTTTCTTGCCATCTCTATCTGAAATATTACAAGCACCTCCAACAGCAGAGTTAGAGCCTCTAGCTGATGGACAAATAACACAAACGGATGAAGAGGATATGGGCATGACATATGCAGAACTGTCAGAATTTGGTCGACTCAGAAAAACCTTTCATTGCGGACCTTACAGTATGTTCCAGAAATTGGTTCATAAGTGGAGTAATAAATGTACTCCAGAAGAGGTATGTAACATAATGTTATATGATTTATGAATATTGCAATTTTTATTGAAGTTAAAACTTCTATAGGGAAGTTTGGATTGGGAGCAAATTTATGTAAGTCGTCATAACAGTTTTAATTAGACAATCGATTAATTTCAATATCCAAAAATAACAACTGTTTGTTTATATAAGTTTTCAATTCTATCGGCAGTCCTCATGATAGCTTTCATTTTATTTAGTTTTGTCTTGTTTTCAGTTCCCGTTAATTTTTATAGTTGTTATGGGAATATTTTTGTATCTTGAGTTTTTTTTGTATATTTTATGTCATTAATATTTTTTTATAAAGATTTTTTAATTGTATTTTTGGTCACAGTAAAATATATTTATAAAAATAGCTTTCCAAATGATTATTATACTTTTATTTGTAATACTAAGACAAACTATGTTTAATGTATATCTGAATACTATAATTAAGTTAAAACAAATAACCTAAGTGTGTTATGTGCGTTATTTCGTTATAGTGACTCCAAAAAACATAAAATTACACTTGATATTATATGAAACACTGGCGACTCGCCCTTGCTTCGCTCTGGTTCGTCCCTAGGTTGATTCTCCATACAAACTTTTATCCCTATTTTCACCCCCTTAAGGGATGATTTTTGGAATAAAAAGTATCCAATATTTTTCCCAGAATTTCAAATTATATTCTTACCAAATTTCATCTTAATTGGTTCAGTAGATCCAGAGATTACCCCCTACAATGTCACAAATTCACAAAATCACAAACTTACGAACTTTACCTCTTTACAATATTAGTACAGATTATTTCTATCTGTCTGCACTACGTGTTAAATAGTTTTTAAGTTTTTATAATTGATATATATGTTAGTTTTAAGGTATATTACTATATATGCTATGGGCCTCTGTTTACATATTTAAGATATCTGAAATAAATGATGAAATAAATAAAATTATTTCCTAAACACTTAAATCAATAGTCCAAATAACCCATAACAGGTAGCAGAAAAAGTAAAGCACTTCTTCCGTTGCTACGCGATACACCGTCACAAGATGACGGTGCTGACGCCGTCCTACCACGCGGAGACCTACAGCCCCGACGACAACCGCTTCGACCACCGCCCATTCCTCTACCGGGTGCATTGGAACTGGCAGTTCAAGACCATCGATGATGCTGTACGTTATTATTCACATATTTAATTCCTTATTGACGACACGTTTGGCTCAGTTTGTAGTGATTCTGCTTGCTGAGCTAGCGGTCGCGGGCTCGAGTCCCGCTGGGGGCATTCATTTGTGTGATTAGCACGAATATTTGTACTCCAGTCGTGGGTGTTTATATATATAATACTAGCATTGCCCGCGGCTCCGCCCGCGTTCAGATGACCAAAAACCAAATTCTTAGGTTTTACATATTAGTATTTCGTAGTAGTATATTCATGAAAATCGTTGCAGCCGTTTCCGAGATTCAGATTATATATTGATATATATATACAAGAATTGCTCGTTTAAATATATAAGATTATAAAAAAATATCTGTTGCTCTATTGCTAACAAACACTTGCATTTATAATGTTATTATTGATTTCAGGTTGCACAAATGGCAAAGGATAAACGTACGAAGCAAGGTGACTTCAATAGCAATAAAGAAGCTTCCAACTCTACTGTGAATCTTACTGCTCACTTTAATTTGCGCCAAGAAAGGAAGGGAGTACTTATATAAATATAATTTTATGTAGTTTGGTCTTAATGTCACAAAAAAACGTAGGTACATATAAAGTAAAGCGGGGCTTTGTTTTTTTCATTAGTTAGTTGCAATGATGTTTTATAATATAGATATGTACGTTACATGCTCACAAAACTAGCGAAAAAAGTGTTCTCAATCTAGAGGCAGCACACATGCTCACACGTTTATTATTTTATTTAAATCAACACATAGTCATATGATGTGAAAGGGATAGCGTAAACAAAACTATAAGAAAAAAAGACAGCTAGTTTTGTCACTCGCGCGTAAGTTTTCTGTGAATTACGTAAGCATGGCGTCTTTGTTTGTTTACAAAGATATAAACCAAATAAAACAGAATAATTTCGGATTACTTATCTCTGGTATGTGATCCCGTGAACTTTTATTTGTTTTGGTTTGATATATAATTAATTAGTGCATTTACGGAATACATATGACCGCATTTTAATTAAAAAACGAATGTATATCGGTTAGCAAAGTGGGGAGCGAGTGGGGAGTGCGTATTCCTTACTTATTCGAAAGCGACTGAGGCCAATGGAGGCTACAGCCTCCATTTGTGCACTTCCCTTTTAGAGCGCTAGTAACGTATCTACGCTTTATTATAATAATCATTGATTAGTAGTAGTTTTTTAAGTAGGTTCTTAAAAACAAAACAAGATATTTTTGCTAAATATCTATGATTTTTCATAATTTTTTTGTTCTCATTTAGACGTTTGTTTAGTCACAAATTATTTCTTGTACTAAAACGATAGAACGATCGTAATTTATTTTAGCTAGAACAATTAACTCAAACAGACTTAATTCTTTCGAGATTTGTTTGTTATTGATTTGGTATTGATATTTTTTTTTATTATATAAAATTTAGAGGTACGAGTATGTAAGGTTTACAATTTTTTTTTCCTTAGCTAGATATTAATAATTGTAGAGAAACTACATAAGTTATATATTTTTTTACTATTCGCTCTTAATGTCTTTCAACTTAGTCTTAGGATAAATATTGGGTGTTAAGACTTTTTTACGTATAAACTACCTGTATTTTTTTACGAATTGTTCGCAAATCATGGAATATTAATTTTATTGATTTACTATGAAGGGCCTTAATTTTCAAACTATCTTTATTTTTTTTAAATATACTGTTATACTAGAGTAAAAATGTTACATTATAAGCCGTTTCTTAAGAAATTCTTAATTTGATTTGATGATTTGTAAAAAAAATATTTTGTTGGTAAAGAAATACGCAACTATATTTGCAGTTAAGTGCACAAATAAGTAAATATTCTGCTTTTCGTTAATGTAATAGAAACAATTCATTTATTAATAAAATATGTTAATTATATAATTTGTTTTAGTATAAACAAAAAAACGTTCTTGACTTAAAAAAATAGTATTTTCCCTTCTTATTTTTGGTAAAAAAAAAACTATAAAGACTTGTAAAATTTTAATTTTTTTGTATATAATACCTAAAGAATGATGGCGGATGAATTATTAAGATGAGATATAAAGAAAACACAAGCTATGCTATGCCACGTTATTAAACTTGAATTAAAATATGTATTATTAAATCTTTTTATTATATTGAAAAATATATTAAAATGTGACTCAGTTGTGATTTCTTTTCTTTAAATTAGACGCTGCTTGGAGTTCTAAAAACCTGAAAATAAAATAAGTTTTATTAGCTTTAATCATAGAAATTTAACAACAATATTTTTAAACTCAAGTCTGCTACTTCATGATTTTTTTATACTACTACAAATATTGGACTAACGAGTGTGGGGCGTTTTCTTGGGGTGTATTGATGAAATAACTAAATTCTTATTCTAAACTTCCGCTGGATATGAAAGCTAACAGATAACTATCTTAAAAGAAGGTTCGATGAAATTACACTTAACGGTTTCACAGAACGCGCGCGTGCGAAAAAAATAATAAATGTTTTTCTATTAATTTTAACTGCATGTTAAATAATGTTCGCGACAGTAAAAATGCAATACAAAATGCCCTAATAAATATTCATTGCACAATAATTACTGTTCTGATACTAAAATAATTTGTATAAAAATAAATTATTATTAATGAATTAAGATGTAAATTGTACGGAAAAAATAAAACAATTTTATAGGAAATATTGACATACTCCATATGGGCGCCGGGAGGAGGGGTGGGGGTGGGGGGTCAAAAGGGGTGCACTTGCTATTCTCTACCTCGAAAGAAAAACGTTAAAGAATAAAATTATATTAGTCAAATCCCTGTTTAAATTTAGACATGTGCGAAAAAAGATGATAAATAAGATATGAATAATAATTATAAAGTTAATCATTTAAACATTAGTTAGTAGTTTAACGTGAAGAAGCAGATGCACCCCCCTGGAAATAGTTCTGTCACCGCCCATGTCCATATATGATATTATATCTGTCTTAAATATAAAAAAAATGTCTTACCAAAAGGTGTCTTAAATATTCCGCCTATCATGTCTTTTGCTGCGTCCTCGACTTTTGTTACTATATTTCCTACCTCAGGCTCTAGAACATAAAATGACATTCCATCTTGTGAGAAATCATAATAGAAGATTACCAAAGTATTAACTCTGCTTTTTGCCTTACGAATTGTATTAGTTCGGGTATTACTTTTGTAAACTCTGTACAGCAAGATTAAAGTTTTGCGGCGAATATAATCGGATGGGTCGACGGTCGGTTTCAACGCAAAATAATAATTTCAATGTAACGCTGGGTTTTGTTCGGTTAAAGAGAGTACCAGATGCCTAATCAACTAATTCTCTTACTACTCTAATTTTTTTTCTCCTATAGCTTGTGTGCTGGCGGTTACGGTTCCTTGGTTACCAGTGGTAACCAAGGAACCGTAACTAAGTAACTTACCACGTTTGTATTAAATAAATGCGAAAGTATGTTTGTTGGTCCTTTTTAGGGTTCCGTACCTCAAAAGGAAAAGAGTAATCCGTATCACTTCGTTGTCCGTCTGTCTGTTTGTCAAGATCCTTTTTCTCAGAAACGCGTGAGGGTATCAAGTTGAAATTAATATTAAATACTCAGTCTGCTCTCCCTTAGAGCTTTGAAAAAATCTAACTTCTAAGTCAACGTAATCAAAAGATACGGCCGTTTATGCCGCTTATTTTGATAGTCGCAAAGGAATTCTTGTTGATATAGAATTATGAAAGCCAAGAAGGGAAAAATCCGAAAATCGAAAATGTTTAGTTACGTCGAAAAAAAAGGTCTTCCGATTATTGACTTATTTTAATGTTTTATGGAGCCATGTTGATTAAGAATTCATAACGTACTTACTTGCTTTATCCTTAGCGGCATCTGCCTTGCCAGCAGCCTCAGTACCGTTAGCGGCTTAAAAGTTTAATAAATCATAGTAAAACATATAAAGGATTTTCTATATCTTTTTAAAAAATCTCATTATAGTGTAATAAATGTAACAAAATAAATAAAAGCTTTTGATAACGAGATAGATTTACACGTTGTTTTTTATTGATTTTCACGGTTGCTTGTGATATTATTAATATTTTTTTTAATGTAAATCTCTGGAAGTATAAAATATGAAAATTGCATAAAGATGAAAATGTTTTAAAATTATCAGAATTAATAATAATCGTAACTAACATTTTTCCCTATTTTCCGTATACTGTGAACACTTTTCTTAATTTACCTTTATCTTTAGCGTCTTTTGCAGCATCTTTAGCGTCTTTTGGGGGCTTTGACGGAGCACCACCTATAATTTTACTAATATTATAAATATGAAAGTGTGTCTGTTTGTTAGTTTGACCTTCTTTCACGTCGAAATTGAGTAACGGATTTGCATGATTTTTTGTGTGAAGATAGATGAAGATAGATGGAGGGCTGGAGAGTGACATAGACTACTTTTTACCGTGGGATATTATCTCATTCCCATGGGAAAACACGATATAATACAATCCAAAAAATATTTATGATCAGAATTATTTAGAACTTAAGTTTTAATGTATTATAATGTATCATAAGGTGGTAAAATATGAGATGACGTTTGTAGAAAACCCTATCTTTTTAAAGTTTTTTTTCAAGCCGCGGGTTCTGCTAGTAATATTATGCTTAGTCTTTCTATTTATTATTTACCATGTATTATTTTCACAGGACGTATAGATGTTAACTTTATTATGAATATAGGCTTATTTTAAGAAGTAAGGGGTTCTACAAAGATTCGGTTCGGAGTAAAGTTTTTTTTTAATTTTTGTTTAAAATTATAGTACAAATAAAAAATGATCGTTTGTTACCGAAAACTTTTAGCACGTCGTCCACCACATCTTTACCAATTTCAAGGGGGTTGAATAATTCTGTAAGAGATTATTAGTATTTTGTTATTTTCAGTTATAATACTTCAGTTTATTTTAAAATCTACTTACAATGCAAATAATACTCACTTGTCATTGTTGAGACCTCACCCAATCCAGGTAAAGCAGATGGCGAGGGACCTGTTGAAATAATAAATGAATATATTTTTATCCTTTTTTTATTTTTCTAGTAGGTTTTTAGGCAATATATATATATATATATATATATATATATATATATATATATATATATACATACATATAATTGAAATACTAATTAAACAATTACTTACTAAGCGACTTGAAAACTCCTTGAATAAACTTTTCACAAGCTTCACTTATGGTGGCCATAAATTTGCTTGCTAGAGCAGCAGCATTTGTCGGGTTTAAATCTAGAAATATAAGTATGAGTTTAATCATTTTAAATTTTAAGTTACATGTATTTTTTTCCGAGCTAGATGCGAGACCTTTTGGTTCGCGTGCCATCGACGTTACTTTTCTTTTTTAAGAGGCCTATCACAAAATTTACTGCGTTCTATGGCATTGAGTTCGAGCGGCCGACGTATCGCTATTTCTATCATTTTCTGCAGTTGTAATTCCTTCTATGTAAAGTTTTTATAATAAATTATTTAAAAAAATATATATAATTACGTTTCTTTAGAACTGATGTATATTCTGGTATAAATTTAACTTAATAATATTAATGTTGTATGGATATATTTACAGCTAATTCTGAACATTTTTAATAGTTTTTAAAATTTTGAAAAGGTTTATTTTTGTAGAAATCCAATACATATTTTCAAATTCCGAGGCCGCTATAAACTCAACCACTATATACGAGATATTATTATATATTTTTCATTTCGTTTGCTTAGTACAGTGTTTTAATCCATGAGTTTGAAAAAGTGCCGTTGCGCATTTTATTAAAAACTTGCTTCGGAATTTTGGCTTTATTTCAATTAATAATGAATATTTGTCAAAAGCGAGGCCGCTATGAACTATATTAATAACTATTCTCTACCATACAATAAGTCAAAATTGTCGAAGAGTTTCAGTTTCTCTGAATAAGAACGTCAAAGATGGGCATTAAATTGAAAAATCATGGTCATAGTGTAATAGGCCTCTTAATACGAAAATGACGATGGATAAACAGAAGATCACATTATCACAACTCTTGCCTTACTTTTCTTATCTTGAAATATTTTTAGTTCAGAATCTTAATATTTAACAATGAAGATGAAATAATGTGTAGCTAAGCATTTCTGTAGTGAAAACAAAAACTAAATTAAACAATGTAAAAAACAAAAAGAAAAATTCGTAATCCTCCAAACACTTTTTAGCCCACGTCGTACATTTTGCCGATTATATCACCATCTATTATATTTTTATATAATTTATTTTGTGTCTTATGTTAGTTTAAGAGAAACAATATGTTGTCATAAGTTTAAGTACCTTTAGCCTCTTTAGCCATCGCTGCTATTGCTTTTTTTGGGTCAGCCTCTGAAAGAATATTACATTTTAAATTTAATATTTACTTACAATATAATTTTACTTTAAAAATCATTTTTAATCGACTTCCAAAAAGGAGGAGGTTTTCTATTCGTCGAAATCTTTTTTTTATGTTTGTTCACCGATTACTCGAAGACGCCTGAATCGATTTTGTTTTTTTAGAAGGGTATACTTTCCAGGTGGTCCTATTAAAATTTTATCGAAATCGGTCGAGTGGTTTTTTAAAAACCAACAATAATTATTTAAATTTTGATTGAACAATGAGTATGTTATTAAAAAAACTTTCTTCTTACAAATTATCTGCTAATTACGTCTACACTAAAAGTAGAAAAATTAAAACTTAAAAAAAACCGACTTCCAAGGCACTAAAATTTTCATTTCATTTAAAAAGTTTTCATTTAGGATACCTTATTACCTAATTAGATATTTTCGAAGTCGGTGCCAGCCGACAATATTTTAAGATATGAATATCTAATAGGTAAATATGATTAGGTATGAACTCTAATTATAGTTAAAATATTATACATCAATTTGTGATGTATTTTACGTATCGAAATAATATTAGATTTGCTTTGCATCGGTTGGCACCGACTTCGAAAATATCTGATTAGGTACCTATTCTAAATGAAAACCCCCGTTTAGTTATTTTTTACATTTTAGTTCCTGGAAGTCGGTTTTAATTAAGTATTTTCTTTTAAGTTTTTATATTTACTTACTTTTCGCGAGATCAGGTGCGTTGGAAGCGCCATCTTTGGCTGCTTTGGCGGCGGATGCGGCCGCTTCTAAACCAGAAATTTACCCTATTTCTTAATTATAATTTACATAATTATAATTTATTAACTATTCATATTTCTTAATTTTTTTCTGTGATTTTCACTATCATAGATTCAGTGATGATATGATGATGATGACGACGATGTTATAATTTATTTACACTTGCTTACTCATTTTTCAAGATTACCACTTTTATATGTTTTTAATTCTTTATTTATTTAAATAAACGAAATGTTAAAATATAAATATTTAAGAAAGTTTTTTTTTTCACATTTATCAAAATTACCTCATAATTAATAAGCACTTTTAATTTATCATTTTCTAATTTTACAAGCCGCTTTTACATTCATTGTTTTTCCCCTAAATATTTATTTGGGCTATGTTATTAACATTAAAAAAAATACCAAAACCGTCCAGCTGTTTTCGGATATCATTTTTATTATACAGATTTTTACTTACCAGCCTTATCCGCGGGGTGGGCACACTGCAATAAATAATAAAAGTTTATTTTACAAGTAACCACATTTAGATCTACTCAATTTATTAAATGAAATAAAACACATTTAAAAGTTAGCCTTCGGAATAAAAACTTTTACCGTACATAATATGCCACTGTAGCGTATTATACTTTAATAAGTTATTTATAAAAGAGGTAATTTTATGTAACTTACTATTACAGCGATTAAACCCGCGATGAAAAGTAGGCACACAAAATTTCTCATTGTTACTAATATATTTGTATATGCGAGATACTGACCGTTCCCTAAAGAGTAGATATTAAACTAACAACATTTCTGAATTAACTGCTATTTTATAAAGCTAAAAGTACGTCTTCATAGAGCCACCTGTATACATATACGCACACAACCTAATTTGAACAATTGGACATGTTTTAATATTTAAAAGCTTTGTCTTTCTGAGGTACTATAATGTATTATTATGTTTGTAAAATTTATGTGACTCATTATTTTACATTATTTAGTACAGTTTATTTATTCATATAGGTACTTAATTTAATCTAACAGAATTGACAAATGTTTGTTTACTTTTATATAACGTCACCACTTTATGTAACAAAACAATAATATTATATTTTATTGAAAAATTCCTGAAATATGTAGCGTAAGTACTGCAAATAATTGAACTCACATAAACGTGGAGGTACTAATTGAATTTCTCCATCTTACCAGCGATCGTACCAATACGTAGATGACTGAGAAGTTTGTTTCGAATTTCTTTGATTTTTTTTCCTATTTGGAATTTGTTCAACCTTTAATTGAATTAAAGATTTTACTACTTTAGTTATGACATTTTCGCTTGTTTTTGCAAATCATCGTTCTTAAGTTAAGTTCTTAAAGCTAAAAAGATTTCTAAATAATGGCTTTTGGTTTATACTAAAGATATGAACTGTAATTTTAGGTATTTTTTAATAATTACGAAGGAACGTAGGATCAGATAAACATACAGGTCAAACACATATTACCCTTCCCTTTGCTGCAGTCGTAAAAATAGCCCATTGCAATCCTTATTTTCATATTTTATCTCTGAAGTTTTAGTTAGTCGTTTGTTAAAAATATATTTAATAGTTTTTATTATTACCAAATGTGACTTTAGTATATTTTTAAGACACATTATAAGCTTTTACACAATATCCATTTCCTATTTAAATATGCGTGAGTTATGCATAACGAAAACACACATGCCAAATGCCAATAGAAGGCATTTACATACTAAAAATCTTAAACACCGAGTCACTCGGTGAATCGGCTAAGACAGAATTGTAAAAGTTTTTCTATACTGTAAGTGTTACACAAATTTACTCCCTAAAACGGTTAAATCGGGGATGAAAATTGATGTGAAAGTCTAAAGTATTTCTATAAATATCTAGTCATTTGTAGAAATATGGAAATTGAAGTTTAAATATGTATTTACGTATATGTGACTTTAAAATTTAAATATGATATATGCTTAACAATTACGGAGGACGTAGTAAATATCAACACATTTAAAAATGTTATACATATTTGTTTATTTTATTCATCTATTCGCGCTATTTAAACACAATGACACATAGATACAGCGAAATAGATATTATTAGAACATTTATCTATTGCATGTTTTCTAATTTTCAATACATATTTTTACAGCCTTTCTGACTCTATATACCTATTGATGATTGATAATGTTAAGAGCAATTAATTCTAAGTTCTAAGTATGTATTAATTAAGGAGAGGTAAGGAGAAGTATCTATGAATGTGTGTATATGCAAGTACGTTTGTTTGTGTGTAAAAACGTATATGAAAAAAAAAACATTTTTCTTATATGCTTTATTAAATGTTTTGTTTCACGCAGATCAATGTCCTAAAGCAGATTATACAGATAAAGCAGATAAAGTTACGGCAGTGAAGTTAAAGTCCTATACAAATCCATTGTGATATAATTTTAATGTCTACTACATGTCTACCTCTACTTAGAAATACATAAAACCAAAATTATAAAGTGTATTATCTATAAGAATTATTAAGTGCTAAAGTTGAAAAAGTTAACTAGAATCACCACAATAATCAACAAGGTACATATTCTAACACAGCAAAGAAGATAAGAATTAATGCTTTATACGTTTCTCTTAGTACTCCTTATAAGTAACATTGTTATTTAGTGATGTATCTATACTCTTTGGAGATAATTCGATGTCAAACTGCATTATTACATAAATCATCATTGTAGTAATAAGTTTTAATAACAGGCTGCTATTGGCTACGACCATATCGTATAAACAAATTGAGGCATTTCTCGTCTTTAAAGTTCTGAGAATTTTTTTTGACAGTTGAATGATTTCCGCTGAAAACAAAAGAAATAAATTTAATTTAAACAAGATATACACAATATTTCTGCATAAAAATGTCGGTGTGAGTTACGAGTGTACCTAGGAAATTGTGATTGTTGGATGAATCTTTTAAGAAGTTATTGAGCGTACTTTTTGATTTGATGATTTATGTCAGTATTTTGTATCCCATCCCATGTATGTATAAAATCCCTTATTAATAAGTTTGATTTATGATCAAAATCTCATAAAATTTATATTCGAATATGCATATAAAAATATTATTTTTTTATTTGATTTTAAATAGAATCATCATCCTTGGTCATTAAATAGAATTCGTAATTATTTTTTTTCGTAATTCGTAAATCGTTCGTTTTACATGACGCGAGTTATACATTGAAAAATAGGTATATTAGATAGAATATCATTAAATAGAATTCTATTCATTATTAAAATATATTTGATTCAGTGTAGTATGTTTAATCTAATTACAAAAAATTAAATTAACACGTTTAATATTTTTTTTTAAATTATTAACTGCATTATTGTCAGACTCTTTATAAAACAATAAACATCAAAAATATATTTTTCTCTCTTTTCTTCCTATATATAAAACCATTTTGTAATTAAAAACTTTTGTGTGCGCGATGGCATTTCGAACTGACGAACCAATAGCGCGCCACTAAGCATGCGGTGCGTGCCCCGCCGCCCCGCGCCGCCTCGCGCCCCACCTCTTACCACCAATTCGACCGATAAATCGATCCGCGCAGCTTGACAGCCAGCGTTCTTTTTAGATGACGCGAGTTATACCTATGCTTACAAATACACGGTAAGACAATAAATCTTACTTAGTTGCGATTAAATCGTATATGAAACTTACTTGGAATTGAAGGTTTTAGTAATATGAAAGTGCATATTTGCTTAGTTTTTTGTAACTCTTCATATGTGATGTCGAATAAGAAAGCAACACATAAGGTATTTATTGCACCACTTAGTAACCAAACTATGTTACAGGACAATATTAAATATTGCACCCTCTGAAATATTTAGTTATAACATTTAATAAAAACTTTTTAACAAAAAAAATTAAAACCGACTTCAAACAAAAGCACTAAAAAGTATAAAATAACTGATTGGTAGTTTTCATTTACTATACATACCTAATCAATTTAATATAATAAAATATTTTCGAAGTCGGTGTGCTTTGCTTTGTATTGGCTGCTACCGACTTCGAAATTATTTGATTTTGAAAATAGTAGAATTTAAATTGATACTAATAAATGTAAAACACACATCAATCTTTACTTCAAATCTTAAAAATTTAAGCTAGGACAATAATTAACTTTTATTCAAACTATTATTATATTTATTTATTATTTTGATCTAAGATAAAAACTTTTTAACAAAAAAATAAAAACCGACTTCAAACAAAAGCACTAAAAAGTAAAAATAACTGATTGGTAGTTTTCATTTACTATACATATCTAATCAAATATTTTCGAAGTCCATCATTAGCTATTTTTCTACCCTTAGGGGTGGTATTTTTTTTTGAAATTTAAATGGGACCAATCTGGAAGTATACCCTTTCAAATATAACAAAAATTATCCAAATCGGTTAATAAATGAACGAAGTTCTGAGGTAACAAACATAAAAAATAAAAATAAAAATTAAAAAAATACGGTCGAATTGAGAACCTCTTCCTTTTTGAAGTCGGTTGAAAATACAGTAACACTTACCATTTTTTTAATATATGTAATCAATAATTGTGTCACTGAAAATGTTGAAATAACTTCGAAGATTGTTAACATTAAAATCTATAAAAGAAAACAGATTAAATATTATCAGTCCAGAAAAATCTTAAAATAGACAAAATTATATCTAGAAGCTCTATAGAAAGCAATTCAGATTAGGTTGTATGGAATGTAAATTATTACTTTTATGAAGATAAAATTACATTACTTAATAGCCAAAAATACTTACAGGAAATCTGTAACGGTTTTGAACGTAATCCTTGTGCAAAAACAATAGTTTATATGCCTTTATAAAACACTCGTCATCAGCCCTTTTATGAAATGTTATTAATTTATTCCAGTTTTCTTTCCACAGTATACCATCAAATAATAAAAATTTGGGGAAGTAATTACGATTTAACTTTGCTTTTTTTATTAGAGATAAATTGAGATATCTCGTTCTCATAATTACGAATACGAATAACAAAACTCCGATGCAAGCGTCATATAATACTTGTAATAATAGCACAAGCAATATGTACGTGAAAAATAAAAAAGAATTATAAACACGAATAGTGTAATAGTATGCGAAAGTTATAAGAAATGTTGTTGTTGCTAT